CTGACATCCTGTTAGATCTCACTTTAAAGACTTTAAAAAAAAGCATGGACTCCAGGTTTCAGACGAGCAGAGAGACAGAAACCCTGACAGGCTCTGGATCCATGATGCTTTGCCTCACCAGCGGCCCGTGTTACAACACTGCATAAGAAATGATATGCACGAGGTGCGTTTGAATATTCATGAAGTAGATTCACCGGCTTTTTTTGTGCTGCGGCATTAATTAATAGCTGCAGGGGAAGCTGCACCCAAATAAGGAGAAACACTGAATCCCACAGAAAGCATGGCAAAGGGAGAAAATGGTGACCAGTTGGTTGATATAAACAGCATTGAATCTAGCTTTTTTAAAGATTGGACTGAATTATTGTACAATTAAGAGACACCAAGAAGAAGAATTTAAGTGAAAAGGCAATGTGGAAAAAACGTAAATCTCTGTTAGGAAAGCTAATGTTTAAGATTTGTGGATATGCACATGTGCCATTTTTTAAAAAGTATGAATATTCAAGAGGAAAAAGATGGCTGAAGAGTCGCCCATCATCTCCTACACAGTTGCTCTGGCAGTTAAAAGAGTGCCGCTGAGAGGAGTTTCACTGTGAAAGACATTAGCATGCCTTTGAAACAAGAGACCTTGAGCATGAACGAGGGCTTTCCACACACACTTTGGAATGTCATTGATATGCACAAAACTGAGGTGTGAGGCCGGAGCATGTGAAAGGGAGGCCAGAAAAGGATCCACTCCAGTACAGGTGGAGCTCTACTAGCCAACAATGTAATAAACCAGCGGGTGTAGACTCCATTGATTGAACGTATGAAGATGGTTTGACGCTCTGCTTTGGGGACTTTTTGCCTCTCTGATCCTGATGATGTCGCCTCATCAAACAGATTTCATTTCATGTATCAAGCTAATAAAAAGTGTTGATCTGTTGATGACCGGAGTTACTTTTTCTGTGCCTGCGCCACCGGTGACCTATGTGCTCCCCGTCTCTGCATAATGCATGATGATTATACACGCACAGTCCTCTGAATTGTAAATCCTCACAATTATACAGCCCATTGTCTATTCATTATTTCAAAAACCGAACGGGAAATTATGTAAAACTATCTCTAAAGAGGAAAGCAGCGTGTAATATGACTTGCCATATTGTTCATGCAATTCAAATACTTAGCTCTTTTTTTTTTCTGAGAGTTGTAAGTAATCTGATTTAAATGAAATCTGACTTGCATGTCGTGCGGGATTATGATACGTTTGGAAGATAAGCCATGATAACTACGTTGCGTGCCACGAGGTGAGAGCACTCAGGCAAAGAGTGTTTTCCAATTAACTTAAACCTCCCTCAAGGTTAAATATACAAGTGTTGACTGAGAGTCCGACTCCTCTGCTTTTTCCCCCCCGACCAGAGGGGTGAAGGATTCCATCAACGTCCCACAGAGTCTCTCGGCTTCTTTGTGGACTCTTTCAGGATCTCTTCACTCCAACAGAGCACATTTATTGACAGTGATGTTAATAATAAAAAGTTACTCTTTCATTAAGTCACAGCATGAAACAAAAAAATCTATTTTTTAAGACACAAATCAAATAAACACTTAAAGTCTTTATATGTGATTTTTCACATTTAAATATAATAGAAATCAAGTATCTCCTCTGAAAATAACTCTGTGAGTCATGACTGTCTACAATGGGTGTAACACCCGAGTCCTACTGTCTGTGATGTTTTCAGAGTTTTCAGAGTCCTATCTTCACTTTGTTTACATCGCCCGGACGGCCGGCTGACTCCTCCCCTCGTGTATAAAAGTTGTTTAATTGAGGGACTAGAGAAAAGAAGATTAACATACTGTACTCACTGCTTAACTGTGTTTCTAGATCACGCTCATTTCAGGTAAATTTACATGCAGTGTGAAGATACCAGCATAATAAAGATCGCTAGCATTAGCATGCTAACACAACAATGCAGCGCGAGTTGTTTTGGTTTCATGCTGGTGCTCAAGGGCGACATCTACTGGATCAAAAAATCACATGTAAAACCTTAAGTCCCAGCACTATTTCATTAGCCTTAGTTTCCAGTATGCCCAAATCTAACTTCAGATCATGCTACCAAACTTAAAAAGTCAACTAGCAGCTAAGATTTTTTATTTTTTTATGGTTTATTTTTGGGCTTTTTCATGTTTTTATTTTAGAGAGAGGACAGAGGATTGAGTTAGAAATCAGGGAGAGAGAGAGAGAAAGTGGGGAATGACATGCAGGAGAGGATCCACAGGTCGGATTCAAACCTGGGTTGCCTCTTGGAGGACTATTAGCCTCCGTACATGGGACACATACCCAAACCACTAGTTTATATTAGACAAGACCATTAACTGAACGAAGCAGAAACAGCCTTCGTTTGTGTTTTCCACAGACAAAAATCACAGTGATTGATATTTTTGCGGTAAAAAAAGAAGCAGGACAGAACATTTCTTAGTTGTGCACTGGACAGAAAAAAGTCCCTCAAAGTAGCATCAAATTGTGTTTCCTGCATGCCTCAAAACAAAAAAGAAAGCTTTTTCTGTTTAAAGTTCCTTTCCATCTCTCTGAGCGTTCCTTAAAAATCTGTAGGATTTAGATTTCTGCATTTGGTCTTCTTCTACTCCTCACATTTAAAGTCACCTTCCACATGTAGAACCATGTGTGTGCACAGTTTGTCACTTTTTCACTTTCACCTGTCTCTCTGTGTTCACCCTTTTTATCCCAGTTAAACAAATGTACTGTATATATTGATTCATTACAACTATTTAAAATGGTTTAATATGTAGATTACACTCATGTGATGTGGAATGTGATGAAAAAGTACATTAATGGATTCTGGATGTTTTAATAAGAGACAAACATCTCCTGGAAAACTTTTTTTTTAACCGATCTGTGGTCAAAATAGGATTAATTCATTTAATCTTTTGTTTTACTAAGGGAGTGTTTTTGTATTTAAAAATGAGACAAACTTTGATTTAAAAGTGTGTTTTTTTCATCATCAGAATCAGAATCAGCTTTATTGTCCAGGTATGCTTACACACATAAGGAATTTAACTTTGGTGAACTGTGCTCTCTTATGAACAGGTACAACATTAAATATCAACAATAAACATAATAAGAAAACACTAATATTTACATGACTAAATATGAAACAGTGCAGTGGTGAATAGTGCAAAAGATGCTGAAGCAACATGCAGGAAAAAAATGGAAATTATCTTTTTTTTCGTAATGCTGTTGTAGTCCATACTGTTTTACTCTGTAGTGTTTTATTCTCTTAGTTCTGTTCTGTTCTATTCATTTCCATTCCCTTCCTTTCTTAATTAATGTTAATGATGCCTATTCAATCAATCAATCAATACATTTTTATTTGTATAGCGTGTTATCTCGAGACACTTTACAAAAAGCAGGTAAAATACCTTACTTATTGCTATACTACAAAGATACTATTCTATTCTATTCTATTCTGTGTTCTATTATTCTGTTTTGTTCATTTCCATTTTTCCCCTTCTCTTCTATTTGACATTATATCAGTCAACGATGTTACCTCATTTTTTTTAAGCAGTACCTTGGCATTGCCTTGCTTTGGTTTCTTTAGTTCAGACTTTAAGGCCCCTGCAGTGAGACCTTTACTCTCTGTCCCTCCTCCTCCTCCTCCTCCTCCTCCTCTGAAGGTGTTACCCTCTCATCCTCTATCTTCCCCTCATCCACTATTCTCCTCCTCACCTCCTGCCACACTCCATCCCCTCTGCTGAGCACAGGTATTTGTTTAGGAATCTCTCGGTGGAAATTATACTCCATCTCCGGCGCTCCCTATCAACACACAATTATCATGGGCAATCATGCAGAACAGTGAGTGCTGAATTCAGCCGGGACTCTGATGACATTACTGACTGCTGAAGGCCCCGGCTGCTGCTGCTGCTGCTGCTGCTGGGGAGGAGGTGGCCTGCTCCACACCTGCAATACAACCCACCCCTCTCTCTCTCTTTCTCTCTCTCTCTCTCTCTCTCCCCTCCTCCAAAGTGGATTGAGAAATAATGAAATATTTCTGTTCTCTTATTATGATTTAATTTAAACCAGGAAGTCCACCAGATAAGATTTTTTTTCCCTGGGGTAGTCTTGGCTGAAAGGAGCACTCCAACCTGAATCAGGACAAATCCTGAGATCTTATCCCACAATTTGCCAACCTCTGCGGCCTCATTTTGTGACCTGCAGTGGTTTTACCTCGGCGTGTAGCTTCTCATAAGGCTGATCTGAAGTTTACTGCGAAGACTCTCCCTGCACTTTGAAATGTCAGGAATAAGGAAAGTGTGATTTTTTTTTCCATTCCTCATCCTCGTCTGTAAAGTCAAAGTCATTCTCACAAAGTAATCAATGCCTCACATTGTGTCTCTCCCTGCTACATCCTGAAGCATTACCCCCATGTATGATAAGTACATTTTTAAAGCTGGGGAGGCACAGAGTTGATACAGACACATGAGAATGACACAGGAGTCCATTCAGATCCTGATCAAATGCTCCATTCATGAGTGAAATTACCATCCGTCTGTCAGCCAAGGTGTGAATTCTTTCATCTACAGATCCTGCTTCTGAAGCTGTGATTAAATGCATAACGCCACATACGCTCGGCACTGACTCCAGATAAGCAAAATAGGATTTCTGCTGCTCTCCTCTGGGTTCATGTGTAAACTAAATGATGCAACAGTGCCCTCTTGTGGTGATATATTGAATGTTTCGAAAACACCTTTAATACAATGATCCTTTTTAAACAATAAGAGCTTGAATCAGGAGTTTCTTTTTCCTGATTGTTCTTCACAGAGGAGTCTATAAGATTTCATATTGATGGCCCTTAGGATTCTGCTTGCTTGATAAGAGACTTTTTGTTCTTAGTCCATGAAATGTGTCTTTGGCTAAACACACATCTGATACCCTTCTAAAAGACTTGATCCAAGAGTGTACTCTCTTTCCTTAGTTCTTTGACTTATTAAAATAACCAAATTATTCGTTTTAGACACCAAAGCTGCTTTTATTGCCACACAGACCACAAAAAAACATTTACATGTACAAAATATTAAACGTCAGTATCTCAAGACAGACTTAAAGCAAGGGTAAGGCCATTTGTTTTCTAAAGCATTTGTGTTTTATTTGTTGAAATCTTATTGCAGCAAATAACAAATTAAATGTTCTGAGGGGAAAAAAAAGAGAGAAAAACATCCTGTATATGTGGCTATCACCGTCTGTGGGTGACTGGATGTCTCACTTGTCTTCACATAAAGTATTTCCCTGTCCACCTGCGCTAAAGCTAACGAGTTAGCGGCACAAGAATTGCAGATGGTAGCAGGATGTTTGTAGCAACAGAGGCGTCATACCCACTGGCGGGGCGTGTTTCTGACAGGATTTTATTTTATTTCTTAAAATGATTTCAATACTTTCTTTTCAGTAAGTTTTATTATTGATCAGTAATATTTTAAATGCATTGTATTCTTCTAATGCCATACCTTAATCCCTCAACCTGTACGCTGTTTTACTTTAAAGAAATGGGATTTTAAGTGGTGGAAGCTACAAAAACAATTAAGCATTTGTAATGATTTGAGGAACTTCACATGATTTTAGTGATAATAGGTCTACCCCTTGTTTCTCTGATTATAGATGCAGTATATTATATTCAAAATGCAAAACATGGCATCATTAGTCATCTACTCTAACGTGTGCTCCCCCTAGAATTTTGGCTTGCATGACGCCCCTGGTCAGCAAAGACAAAGACTTGCCTAACCACCCCCTCCTGTAGACTCGTCCTGCACCATGAGTGGGGGGCCAATTGTGCTTGAGTACAGCACGGTACAGATGGCCAGTGTGACCGCGCCCTCAGACACTTCACACTCGCCTGTTGGAATTGGTGGCTTTAGCATTGCTTTGCTTTAGTTGTTCAAAAAAAAAAAAAACTCACTCCTAGTTGCCCCTCGAGTTGCCGACCCGTGCTTTAACAACGCTATGAAACCCAAACATAATGCTAAGAACATGTACAAGAAAAGAAAGTCAATACAAACAGTTATATAAACCCAACATTAAAAAGCCAATCATGCTTCAAGCTCACTTATAAATAGAATCAATTGCGCTGCACCACTTAATCAATCAGATTTGGGCTATATACAGACATCTGAAAATAATACTGCAAAACAAGCAGAAATTAACTTAACTATTAAGCATGATAATACTCAGTGAAATATAAATATTTAATTTTATTAAAGGATAAGACTAATGATTCTGCATTTTTCAAATTTTCTAATAAATCTTTAAAAAAGGAAACACTGAAATGAGCAGGCGTCAGTGTGCCATAGAGCTCCATTGTTCCCCCTAACTATATTGAGAAACATTTTCTGTATATTGATGAACATGTGGATTGCAGTTTATTCTGCACTCACTGACACACATAAGGTGACTGTTGTTCTAAATACTCCCCAGGGCCCCAAATAGCTCTTCATCTGCAACAGAGAATAGTCATGAACAAATACATTATTGACTCATGTTTGAGTAACAACTCGGCTGTTTAGCTGTTTTCTTTATAAGGTGTGATCAGTTTGTAAAGATGACATATTTAGTATGATTTAATGGACTTCCAGATTTGTATTTTTTATTGAATTGAACATCATGGCAAGGTGCTGTTTAACCAAACACGGACTCTTATCATTGTATATACAGAACAATCGTGCATCATTCTTAGCTTCATACTGTGCACTTTAACCTTTTAGCATATGACAGTTTTTGTACATACACTCATTGCCCACAGATTCAAACTAAAGTCATATACACCATAGGTCATTTATACTACTACCTTTAAATAGACCCTTAAAAAAGATTGATTCTGCAACATTATTCAAAAGGATCAGCCAATATATAAACCTCAGAGCTACAATCTCCAGAGTCCTACTTGGGGACAAATCAAGACCACAGTGGTAAAAAAAAGAAGAAGAAAGTGAATAAAAACTCAATCTAAATGCTTCCTCTAACCTCAGTGGCAGTGTATCTGGACGGTTCGGCCGATGAGGAGGAAAAGAAGGCCGGCGAGGAGACAGAAGAAAATGCCAACAGGGGCGAACATGAAGGATAGGCCGTAGTGGTGGGACAGCTGGAAGGTAGGACACACTGCAGAGCGCTGGTGTTCTATGTAGAGATCCAACACGTCCAACACCTCCAGCCACAGGACGTACATCACCACCACACACAGCAGGAACAGGCCTGGTGCAGGGAGCAACATAGAGAGACCAGATGGGGATGATTCAAAGCCACTCACACACTTGTTATGTCCACCAATGCAAACTGATCCAAAAAATGTGTTTAAAATCCTGTAGTTAAAATTCCACCACAACCCTGACAAGTGAATTATTCCAAGTAACAGTCCTGCATTTATTTTATTATTATTTTATATTATATTTTAAAGGTGCACTATGGGGTTTTGGTAGATAATAGAGACATTTAAAAGTTGTAGAAATGTACAGATTCTGTGGCGTATGCTCATATCTCCATGCACAAACTCTCCTCAGAGGAAAAAGTAGTCCCTGTGACACTGTTTGGAAATAAATGCTACACAAGAAGCAATGGTGGGGGGGGGGGGGGGGGGGGTCCGCAACAGTGATACCGTAACTCTCCTTTTAGCTCAAAAAGGGGTTCCAGGTACCCTTTTTATTCTTTGTGTGAAGTTTGTGGATATAGTTCAGAAAATATAGCAGGGAATTGTTTCACTTCTCCAACTTTCTAATTTCACTACCAAATCTTCACAGTGCACCTTTAAGTATATTAAAAATAAGAAAAAATCTAAATGTGATAACTACCCCTGACAGCATTTACAGACATTTAAAAATAACTTGTAAATAATGTGTCTTGTTGCTGATGATGTTTTTTGCATAAAGGCCATCAGTAATTTATATCAGGCTGTTTATTACCAGAGGAAAAATCCTAACAGGAGCTTTAAGTTAGTGTTCGAATGACTTTCCAACACAGGAGTGAACCATTTCAGTTCTTACCTGAGACCAGGAAGAGGCCTCCTCCTGCTTTGTACAGGCGATGGCTGGCGAACGGAGCGGCACAGATGATGAAGAACCCGCCGAGCACCACAGCTGCCACACCGATCAGCATGAAGATGCTCCAGAAGCCTCTGTAGACTGCACAAAGAGAAATACAAGACAATGTGTGTACAGAAGTTGGATCATATACAGAAAGTAAATAAACTTGATCTGTGTCATCTGAAACCACATTCAAATAGATTAACAGACACTTACTTATAGCAGTATCATACTCTGTTGCATTGTGGGTCTGATGAGACACGGGGAAAGGGAAGAGGTAGGCGTGCATGCACACTTTAGAGTGGGGCTGATTTGCTGGAGACAGACAGGAGGGGAAAAAGCACAGAAAGTGAACAGAAAGTCTTTAAAGTAAACAATTAGTAGACATAAACAGCCTTAGATTCTTTGATGGTTTAACTTTGTATAGCGTGTTTGTTTTCTCCGTCTCGGATTGATTTAGATATGACACAAACAAAGCTAATAAAAACATTTTTCTCTCTCATTATGTTTTTATTATTCTTGTCCCGCTCTCCTCTCTCCTCTCTCCTCTCTCCTCTCTCCTCTCTCCTCTCTCCTCTCTCCTCTCTTACAGCATGTGAAATTCCACAGACCCTCACAAGGTCCTTTTAGTGCTGGAAGCTTGTTTCCAACAATGCCCAACCATTCAGAGTCCCCATCAGAAAATAGATGACACACTATCACCTGACAGACGACCAAAATAACATCACATGGCTCGCCGTCTAAAACAGTCACACGAGAGGGTTTCCACCAATCTGACGCTCTCCAGTTTTATTGACGGAGTAAACAACTCAAGAAATTATAAAAATTATCTTGGAGCATGCAGGGGACCGTTAAGTTTTTAGAAATTTGACATAAATATTGTCTTTGCTTAAGTGTGAATCTTCAAATGCTTTCTTAAACACAGAGCTACAGTCTAACATTGATCCTCTGCTACTCATTAAGACCCTTGTTGACAACAAAAAACTACTTGTTTGGTCATCTTCTCTTAATTTTATGAACTAGCTGATGAATCCTGTGCTACACTGAAAATCCCCTAAACATAATCATATAATGCACTTTCATATGCTCGTCATCTGTCATGGTGGAAACAGCATGTTCTAAAGTAAAGTCCCGAATTGGATTGATTTTATTTATTTTTTTAACATTTTGCTCCAAAGAAAATTTCTAGTAGTGAGTTGGAAATTGATGCCAACAATAGTGATATCACAAGCTTGGATAGCATGCTGTCATTTCTCTGTCTCTAAAATATAATTGGATTTAAATCAGGTCAAAAGAAAAGGAACTAAAAATGTATAAAAAATAAAGATAATTCTGTGAGTAATTGTACTCAGATTGAATATAAAGCAGATGAAACCAAGAGAAAACTGAGCTGAAAACAAACATTAAAACAAACACAGTGTAGCAGCTTTGTGTTAACAGTGTTTCTTACTGAACCAGAGCTTCCACAGCAGATGGTCATCTCCCTCGCTGCCTCCAAACGAGCACTTCCAGAAAAACCCCTCATGGTACAGCGTGACGTCTCTGGCTGCCTCCTGCACCAAACAACAATGAAATATAATTTAACTTCAGAAACAGTTCAGAGTAGAGTAGGTATGTATGAACTCCATGTTATCAATGGATGCAATAAAAGTCTAAGAACAGCTTTTGCCATCATGTGAGGGGGGTGCCGGCCTTCTGTGTGGTGCCACGGTGACACACAGCAGCTGCTAATTAGGGTCAAAGGTCGAGCTGAGGAAGGACCTCTAACCTCGTGCAGATTTTTGCTCGGGTCGCGTGAACGTGCAGTTCAACGGTTTTCTCATTCAGGAAGCATTTGACTTTGGTTGTAGCTATTTTTGGTGAATACTAAACATCCTCGATTGACTAAAACATCATCCATGTTATATATTATAGAGGGTGCGATCTCAGAAGAATTTGGACATTAAAGTGTCATCATTTGTCATGAAAAGATGTTTTTTTTCCGATTTGGATTGCTTTTAAGAAATTATATAAAAGTAATATATAAAACCTTGGGTACACCAAAGTATATAGTTAATCATTTTAGCTTTCTACCCACACACAAAAAAAAAATCAAATGAACCTCAGTGATGTTGAAACTGTGATGACAGGTCATAGAAAGAGAGATACAAGTCAGAGAATTGAGAATAAGTGCTTCTTCACACTTGATCTCCACTTAAAGATCTTGTCTATTGCCCTGAGTGAGATTCCGAGATTGGATTCATACAGGAAAGTGAGATATTTACACTGTATTACTGTATTATACTACGCTGCTTTGGTTTGATTGTGGTGATATCATGTGTTGATTCCAGTATCAGAGCCCACTATGAAAAAGCTAAGTATGTTCATGTCGGTGATATTCAATACAGCAACATGCCTACAGGCCCACTGGTATTTGTATTTCTATCATAGGGCCACGTGGTACATGCTGTGTCTCAATACTGCATAGCTGCACACACACACACACACACACACACACACACACACACACACACACTACATTAAACAGTGTCTGATTACATGAAGATGTCCTGGAACAGAGATGCCTCTCTCCACCCTACAGGGCTGAAAAATCAGCCGGATTGTTTTCCAAAATAGAAAAAGAGTCTTTCTGTTTATGTTTAAAGGTAGCTCTGTCAAATATGTTTTCTGCGGGAATAGAGTTAACATGCATCATATTGCATTTAAAGTTAAAATACTATAGGCTACTTAACGATACAATTACTAGCATTGTTTCTGTTCTCTGGTCTCAGCAATAAAACCTGACCTCATTTATAAATATTAACCTTCACATCTAAACTCTGCGATACTACACTATATGATATGATGTGATATGATATGATATGATGTGATATGATATGATATGATATGATGTGATGTGATGTGATGTGATGTGATGTGATGTGATGTGATGTGATAAGTGTACAATACCATACCATACTACACAGTATGGTACGATTAACGATGAGATACAATATGCTAAGTACGATACTATAGGATATTATACATTACACTACGATAAGATATGATACAAAAGCAAACGATATGAGAGAATGCAGTACAATAGATATGATGCAATGTGATTTATTAATGCTGAACTTTGATTTTAGTCCTTACAGGGAAATATGACTCGGACTCGAATGCTGCACACATAAACAACATTCCACTTAGATAACTCGCTATTTTCCTTATTAGCATGCATTTTTAAAGTTCCATCATTAGACCTTTGAGACCAAGGGAATAGAGTTCACATTGACAATACACCAAAGCATATTTACTACACAAGTTAAAACAACTACTGTGATTATTCCTGTCTCTATTCTTACAACATCTGACCTTATGCATGCACACATCGTTATATCTAAAAATGAAGTTAAGAATTCAACTCTTTTTTTTTTTTTTTAAATGATGACTTGTTTTTCATAAATCTGCTACACCCACCTCTATGATCACACCAGCCGGGCTGACAGTTTCGTCAGGGTTTGTTTGACAGCTCTCCGAGGCCAGCAGCCAATAATCAGTTCCAAACGAAAGCAGGATGAACACAGCTGCAAGAGCCCCAAAGAGCCCTGCAAAAAACAATGCCACACTGAGCTTCATGGTCCAGGAATTCAGCAGCCACTCAGATCCTGGATGTCAACACTGTCTGATTTTTTTTCCCCCCTCCAACTACTGCGAATGCATGTGACAAAAAGAGTCACAAACAGTCACTCCTCTTGAACTTTAGTAAATCCACTGAGTGAGAAAGTTTCCAGCTGGTTTATTCTGACTTTCTGGATCTTGACTCCCTCTCCTGTTTCCCTGTCTGTGTTATGGGAGGACAAGGTTGAGCACATGACACCCTCTGGACCCTGCTGGGGTCTTCAGTCAGTCAGCCAGCCCTCCCTCCCTCCCTCCCTCCCAAGCACCCCAAGCTATTTTTGGGGTCTGATTGAAGGCGGCTGCTCCTCTCCACTGAGTATGTAGAACAGTTGGAGAGTGTGAAGGGAGGGGCTCAGAAATAACCGGTGGCAACTGGACACCCGGGCGTCTGCACGGGAATGTCAGGGCAGGGTGGGACTGGAAGGACAGAAAAGGGGGTGAAGAAGCGTCCTACAACACCCACAACATCGTGTCTTTAAACGCTTCTGCCACACCAGGACACAGCACACATGTAAACACTCAAACCCAGAAGGATCGTTTCCTGTAAATGCTGTTGATGCACCCTTACTTCTTGGGGATATCACTGAGATAATTATCAAATGTTGCTTTATAAAAACTTAAACATGACATCATGATACTTCCAAAATATACTGTAGTATTTCTAAGAAAAAGTCACATTATTAACACAAACATTCTACACTTCTGAATATTGGATTCACACACGCAAAATACATATTCCCTCCAAATTAGCATGTCCCTTTAAAAAGGTCACTGTGGCTTTGAATACTGTTTTGATTTTCACATTAAAAGCATGTAAGACAATTTAATAAATGCCATGCAAAGAGCATTTTTGTTTCTTTTTGATATCTGTTTAGCATCTGGTTTTATTTCTGATTCTGTGCTATATAACAGCCAGTTTGAATCGAGAGGAGCCGCTGCGTTATTATCATCTAAGGGGCATATTTAACGATGAACCTAGATGTAGTCTTTGGCAAATTTACACACTGATGTGACCCAGAACACCCACGGTCACAAGGAGTCCATCCACATCCACTGCTCTGAAGAACATCTGAACAGTATGAACAGCTTAATCTTATGCTTATATTTATCTTATTAAAGATCCACAGATATAAAGTGCATTTTTGTTTTAATCCGGTTAAGTTTGTTCACTGGTTACTCAACATAGCATAGCATTGGGAAAATATGTATATCAGGTGTATCGTTTATTTGAGACAAAATTATGTAAAGTAGAGTCAATCACAGTGCAAGATTTTATTGTATTTATTATCACCTTTCAAAGTGATGCCATATGAGCTACTAAAGCAAACAGGAATAGCTAATTGTTGTCTTTTAGTGAGGAAGACTAAAAGACTCCAGGTCTCCATTTTTACCAAGTGCAATTAATATGTTAAACAACAATTAGCTATTTGTTGCTCTTTTTGCACTTGAATTGCACATTTGCACACCTCCCCTTTGCACTTTAATAATTTGAATTTCCATTCTGGTATTGAGCTCTTGTCTGATTATATTGCGCTGTTTTTATTTGGTTTTATATTTTGCTGTGTTGTCTGATTTTTTAAATTTGTTTTGGTCCATGTTTTATGGTGATGTTGTCTTTGTGTTTCTTGTCTTCTGTGTGTTCCTGTTGCAACGCAAATTTCCCCTTGTGGGACAATAAAAAACTCTGAATCTGAGGATTATTTCTATTTTGTCATTTTTATAGTTTGAAACCACTGCTGGGGGGGTTAGGTATCAGACGAGGGGACTGACAGCATGTTTCAGATACAGTCTTATTAAAACATTATATGGCAGAAATTCATGTGAGTTAAACATTTGACTGCTAAAAGAACTGGATAAGATTTTGTCAAAAAAAAAAATACCTCTGGCACGTACTGGAGAAAAATGGTAGAGACGCTGTAGAAACTAGCAGTTTGTCCAGAGGGGGCGCCAAAGTCGACATTAACCGAATGTTCCTTGCAAGATGATTTCAGCAAAGTAAAAGTACTAACATTAAGATTTAATGTAAATTATGACTCACCATATATTACGACTCTCTTCTTTATATGTTTTAGCCTTTAAATGTTTCCCTTCCTGTATTCATTTTACTGCTCTTAGTCTTTTTAAATTCCTAATCCTTTTATCGTTTAACTCTTCAGCTCTCTTTTGCTTTATTCATTTAACCAATGTCCCGTTTATCCCTTCTTTTTCTCTTCATTCTGTGTTTACAGCCTGTGATGTGATGTCCTCCCACTCTCCCTCAATTTTAATTTTGTTCTCTCCTGGTTGATTTTGCACTAATTTTCCTTCATTGTATTTAACTGCCTCTCCATACCTGCCTGTTGAATCTTATTCCTGTTGTTTGCATTTTTACAGTTTTGCCCTCTCTGTTGATCTCTGTTCTGTTGTTGTGTTGCAGCAGTTTGTAAACATTTGTTTTTAAAGATGCTATATAAATTAAGCTACTATTATTATTATCGTTATTATTATTACTTATACATGTTATTGTATAATATAAACATATCAAGTCATTTCAAAGGTTGTCTTCTTTGTAAGGGCCAACTTTTAAGTAAATCATTCTGACAAAAAGTTGCATCACTGGATTAATTTTATTATTAAGGAAAAATGTTTAATTTTAAAACTGTTCTTTATACAGTAATCCATGTGCATAGTAGTTGTTATACAACTATTTCACTGCTGTATGAGTTACAAATACAGCAGTACAGCAGCTTTGCAGTTATCGTGCAATCCTCACATGTGTCCAGCAGGTGGCGTAAAAGTAATTAAAATACCAGCTGATGACAAATCACAGGATTAGGTGCTCATTTCATAATATGTGAAGTGTACGAGTTAAGATTGTGTTTTGTGTTGTGATTATGCATTTATTTATTTATTGTGATGGAAAAAAAATGTTTTTTTATTTTTTTTATATTAAAACAAAATTCCCAACCAGTTATGTGACGTCAGAGGACGATACCAACAACCAGATCAGACGCGGGGGAGTCAAATCAGAGCACAGGGCAGTTTAACATTAAGATAGGAAGGAACACGTCTAAAACATTCGGCTTTCTGCAGGAATACTAGCATATTTAAACCCGTTTTTTTAATCTCCACGGCCCGTTAAACTCGCCACACTTGTTCTGTCGATTAAAAACCGGATCGTTTAGCTCCGCCCCCCCTGCTCGTGGAGACCGGGACGCCTCACACAGTAAATGATTCCAGTGATTATTTTTTACAGTAGAGCCGGATGAACACTTCCGCCTTTGCTTCAGCAGAGTTCACACAAGCGGGAGGATGAACAACCAGAGATGTAGCAGCTCATTCAAGAAGCCAAGAGGACGGACGAGAATCATACAATGTATCTACGTGGTGGGCTTCATGGTGAGTTCACGGACACTTGATTGTGCTGCTTCTAACGGACTCAGTGAACTGATTTGGTTATGATTTCTGTCATTAAGGTAGTGTGTTAAAATACACTTTACAATTAAAGAATGTGCTCCTCATTGACATAACATCTGAACAAGTGATGTTCAGAGTTTGTTTTTTTAGTTTATTTGAAATAAAATGTGAATTTATTTTTGCATAAATAGCCTTTAATATAATTGTGTCCTTTCCACAAAGTATATTCAATCTATCCCTTATACTGAACCTGCAGAGACTTTCGAATTGCATCTTTCCTTCTTCTTCTGCAAAAATATATGAAATCATGTTTTATGCAGCTGTAGCCTACTTCAATACATTTTTTTAAAGTCAGCAAACAGCAGGGTAAAGTAGGCGTAGAAGGTCATTGGCTATAATTTTACAACTTTCTGGGTATTTTGAAAAACGTCACACTTGCATGAATCAGGTGAGGGAGGTGTATAGGCTGCACTGCATGTTGTTGTGACACTCCTGAGTGATTGCACTTGAATGCATCACTGTCAGTAAAATATGTTGCAGAGTGGACTGGGCCTTTCTTTATTTTACAGAGCATGCCTCTTATTGCACATGGACACCTAATTGTCTCCTTTAGCCTGCATAGTTTAAACAATTATTTAATTAAATGTCACTGTAGTCAGGCAGCTCCTTTTGTAGAATAGAGAGCAGATAGAAAAGGTGGGGCCCGGCATTCCACTGAAAGACAAAATAACCACGGTTAATTGGTTGAGTCGGTGCACTTTATGAAGCGCTGTGTGACTTAAATCAAGAGTTTGGCAAGAGCTTGCTCTGGTCTCAGAATGCAGCAAAACGGGATGAACTGATGCAACTATCCCTGAACTCTGAACCCAAGAGCACCTGCTGCCAATTAATTGCTCGTATCTGTATTTATGTTTTAATGTTTGGCGTCTAAAGAACAGGTGGAGCATCCAGAAGTAAATAAAGATGAGTGGAAACTTTCCATAATCATCATAGTTTGTGGAGCTTTGTCATCGCCCAGCAAGAGAAAATTAGAGTCATTTAGGCTGATGAAGGCGTTTAGTTGGAGTTCAAATGATCTAATAAATGTTAAGAGTATCAGTCTATTAATCACAATGCTACTGTGGTAGAGGGCTCGACCAATAGAAGATGACATCAACAGCTGGTGAAACTCTACAGGGTTTAATTCTGCTTCTCATTTTTCTCTCTTTTCACTTCGTCTCCTGTAGGACTTGTTTGGGGTGAGCATGATCATCCCACTTCTGAGCCATCACGTGAAAGCTCTTGGAGCAAGTCCCTCCGTTGCTGGTGTTGTAGGTAAGTAGTGTCCTTTGCAAAAAGTTAATATTTTAAGTGTCATTCAGTATGCAATGTAGGCTCAGGCTTTATAGCTCGTGAATAACAAGCAAGCTGCAAAAAACCTTCAATTCAAATCACAGACTAAATCACAAATTCTTATCTTATTATTTAGATTTTCTGTTTGTTTTTTTTGTTTCTTTTTTCTTTGTTTTACTGTGTTTTGTTTTGTCCTGGCTTTATGGAGAGGTGAAGTGTACCTCTTGTGTTTTTGTTTGTCTATTGGGTGCTACTATAATAAACATTATTAAAAAATATATATTTTTAAAATTCTTCTCTGCAGACCAACGTTAACACGAAGAGAGAGATTAAAGTGTTACCTTTCTTGTTGCACATCTCACAGAACATGTTGAGCTATCACTGCTAAATCTTTAAAGTGGGTCAGATAAACTGTTTTCATATAATTTTGTTTCATAATTATCTTTGAATGATTACACAAGACTTCATAACTTAAAAAAAACAAAAAAAAACAAATTCTGAATTGAATAAATCTGTTGCAGGATCTACATATGGGATCTTACAGCTCTTCTCCAGCACAATAGTTGTAAGTATTGACTTCTCTCTAACCTCCGCTCAGCCTCTCATGCTTGACAAAGGCATGCTCACAGTTAGTAGCCAAAATGGTTGCATCTCTGGTATTTCATGAAAACAATCAACACTGGCTGTTTTAGGTTGGTGGGGGTCTCCTCCAGTCACTGCGCATGTACACACCAGCTACTCTGAGTAAGCTGCAAACACACATATCACTGATTTTAAACAGAATATTTACTTTAGTCTTTGACACCTTCTGACTGGACAATGTGGAGAGACTTATCAGTGAGTAATCTTTGAAGGTTTTGATGTAAAACCAAAGACTTGATTATATTAATGTCCAAACTGCTGAGAAATGACCCAGAAAAAGCAGAATATTCCACCGTAAGATTCTGCAAGACTCTCTGCTTTTCACGTCCCTCTCACTGCCGCCCCATAGCTCCTGAAATTGGTTAAATTCCCAGGGGTCATGGGACAAATTAAAGCCATAAAGAGTCATCTGTTGGTTCCCGCGTGCAAGACCGGCTGGATCCTGATAAACGTCGGGATACGTGAACAGCTGGGTCTCTATGATAATCCCACCAGGCTGCATCCTGAACACAGCAAACTCAATTGGTCCTAACTTCATTATTTCATCAGTTGTATGTATGTACGTGTGTGTGTGTGTGTGTGTGTGTGTGTGTGTGTGTGTGTGTGTGACAGAAAAGGAAAAGACAGGGTGAGAATCTAATAAAGGCTTGTTAGGCTTGTTAAACTAAGGATGTTATATCCTAGGTTGATTTTTTTCTTCTTCAAGGATGTAAGAAGACACTTCTGTTGGTTGGACTTTTCATTTCAACCACATTGTAATCAGAAGAATTTAAAATTCAAGCCACGAGTCAGCTTCTCCCGATGTTTAATAATTACTCAAAGACCTTCAAATGTCTTGAAGAGAACTGGATAAAGATTGACACTATATGGCCTTCTTATGCATTCATAATGAAGTTGATGTTTTTTGGCTACACTCTTTTAACTTTAACGTTCACTCTCTTTTTATATATTCAACTTTTTCAGTTTTAAATCCATTATGGGCACTACTGTCAAGTGTCAGAAGGAAACTTGTAAACAATGAATGTAAGGATGTCAGAAAATTATTGCCAGAAACTCACAAGGAATAAACAAAGTAACAATGCAAAATTTTTAAAATTTTGTGGTTTCATCACACACATGCCCTGCACTGTCTGCACTCACATGAAGACTTTAAATATAAGGCAATGCTAAATATTTTCTAACCATGCTTTATTTATGAAAGCAGCTTTCTGAGTGCCTTCAAACAGATTTTATAGTGGTGCAAAATCTGTGCTCAAACAACAATAAAATGCTCTTTATTCTAACTCAAACGTTCACTATATTAAACACTATATTGTTAATATATTCTTTACTGCTGAACTTTCCCCATATGATCAGTTTCAGTCCCTCTGCACCTTTAAGAAAAAGCTAAAGACCCAGCTCTTTCATGAATACCTACTAACTTAATGATGATGGTCTCCATATTATTGATGATGATGATGGTAATGACGATGGTTTTTGTTTGATAACGACGACTTATAAGATGGTTTCTATACTGATTAGAGCTCTCAAGAACTGCCCTCAATGTTGTGCTTTGCCTCTGGTCACTTCCTGTCAGCACCTGTGTGTCCAATCAGACTCAAAGCTGATCGTTTGCTCTTACTCACATTGTTCCCTTCTTTTCTAGATCCTTGCTTGTGTTGTTCTTACTCTCTGATGTACGTCGCTTTGGATAAAAGCGTCTGCTAAGTGAATTGTAGAATTCATGGGTTTGTGTGTTGCTCTGTGTGTGTGTGTGTTTGTGTGTTTGTCAGGGCAGCTGGAGTGATGTGGTGGGCCGGCGCTACTCTTTGCTCACCTGTCTGCTGCTGAGCGCGTTCGGCTACGGCCTGCTCGGGATGTCCACCAGCATCGCTTTGTTTGTCCTCGCACGAATACCTGTGGGTAAGTCCTGATCCACAGGAGGAAAAACTCAGGTGTTCACTTTAAATTGATTTCTTCTTTCTAGCATCCTTTCAGGGTCCTTATATTGTGCATTTAGATTAAAAAGGATATTATAATTATTACATCAGAACTGAAGTTTACTAGTTTGCACCAACGTACCACCTGTACCTTAAAGGCTTTATATGTTTTGATCCAGCAGATGTCGCCCTTGAGCTCCAGCATGAAACCAAAACAACTCGCGCTGCATTGTTGTGTTAGCATGCTGATGCTAGCGATCTTTATTCTGCTGGTATCTTCACACTGCATGTAAATTTACCTGAAGTGAGCGTGATCTAGAAACACAGTTAAGCAGTGAGTACAGTATGTTATTCTTCTTTTCTCTAGTCCCTCAATTAAACAACTTTTATACACGAGGGGAGGAGTCAGCCGGCCGTCCCAGCGATGTAAACAAAGTGAAGATAGGACTCTGAAAACTCTGAAAACATCACAGACAGTGGGACTCGGGTGTTACACCCATTGTAGACAGTCATGACTCACAGAGTTATTTTCAGAGGATATTCTTGATTTCTACATTTAAGTGTGAAAAATCACATAGAAAGACTTTAAAGGTAAAATCGATCATCTTTTTTAATCCTCATTGTGACTTCATTTCTGTCTCAGGGCTCTTTAAGCATTCCCTGTCCGTCTGCAGAGCCCTGCTGTCTGACCTGTCGTCTGACTCAGAGCGCCCTCTGGTGATGGGACACTTTAACGCGGCCTCCAGCGTCGGCTTCATCCTGGGTCCTGTTGTTGGCGGCTACCTCACGGAGCACGAAGGCGGCTTTTATACCTCGTCCTTCATGTGTGCTGCAATCTTTCTAATTAATGCAGGTGGGCTAAAAAAATGGACGAAAATAAACTGATTTAATGCAGAAGAAATGAGAATATTCAATGTGTTTATGATTCCAGGTCTGGTGTGGATGCTACCCTGGAGTGAGGCGCTAATTATCCGTAATGCCACCGATTCCAGCAACAACGCTAGTAAAGGTTGTCATGACAACAACTGCAGGAAATCGGTTCAAAACGGCTCTCACGTAAACAAGCACCACCCGGTGTTTGCAGCAGAGACTGTTCCAGCGTCCAGAGCTCCAGAGAAGCACCCAGGTGGTCATCACACCTGGTGGGAGGCGTCCCTGCTCCAGCCCGTCTGGAATCAGCTCTCCTCAGTGGGCTCAAAGATACACATGGTGGCCTCCTCGGACATGTGGGACCTCTTCCTTGTGCGTCTCCTGATGGCCGTAGCTATCATGCTTTACTACAGCAACTTCTCTCTGGCAATGGAGGAGCGTTTCTTTCTCAAACCGAAGGTGACGGGTTATCTCATCAGCTACAGCAGCACCTTGGGGGCCCTGGCTGGGTTCCTGGTGGGTCCCGTCACCCAGCTCTACGGGAACAACATGCCCACTCTGCTGCTTCACTCCACAGTCCTCACCTGCACGCTCATCTTCCTGTACGCCTCGGCTCCCAGCGTGTGGCAGGTGCTGCTCACCTCCACCTTCTTTGCCATTTCCACATCCATCGGACGGACGTGCATCACGGACCTGGAGCTGCAGAGAGGAGGGGTCCAGGCCAGCGGGACTCTGATCGGAGCCGGGCAGTCGGTCACAGCTGTCGGCCGGGTCCTGGCCCCTCTCCTCTCAGGTGTGACTCAGGAGTTCAGCCCCTGTGGTCCCCCCTATCTAGGAGTGGTGTTAGCCCTCGCCGCCGTGCTTTTACTGCTAATCAGGATCCCCAAATGGGACGGAAGGGGGATGATGTTGAAAATAGACAAACTGGAAAGTCTGAGTAACTGGATGAATGTAAGAAGAAAAAAAAAGAAATCTTCCAAGAAAGAGAAGTGCTCTTCTTTTTTTTTTAAAGAGGCCAGCTCTGAAGATGTTCAACAGACTCGTAGCGGGGGAAGATGTTTCCTGCTTGGAACGTGTCTGTAGATGTAGACGACGTCACAGGGGAAAAAACGGCTCTTCATCACCAGCATTGCAGTCCCTTCCCAAAGGAGAGCTGCTCTCGGTGAAGTCAGGGGATGAGAAGTGAAATGTGCTTCCTCCCTGTGCGGCGGTTTGATGATACTTTAGGCACATTGCTGCCCGAGAAGATATTTTTTATTTTCAATGTCTTTCTGTAACCACTTTGTTTTCAAGTCCCTGCTGATGATACACGTTTTGTAGTCATAAATGACAGGAGACTATAGGTACTGGTTGGTAATTAGGCTTCCTGACTGTCCATAGGTAGATAACACTGTTTTGTTTTGTTTTTAAAGTTGGTCATGATTAGCTGAACTTGTAATTTTACCTCAAATCCAGCTGTTTTTCTTCATCACAAAAAGTTCTTACTGTGGTAAACAAGCAAATGTTTGAGACTTTTTTACTACACAGATTTTTCTATTTATGTTGGGGTTGTTTTGAATGGAGATTTAAATATATAAAATGGGACTTTTTCAGTTTTAAATCCATTATGAGCACTACCGTCAAGTATCAGAAGGAAACTTGTAAAAATGACTATAAGGATGTCAGAAAATCACAAACAGGATTCTTGCCTGAAACTCACAAGGAATAAACAACTTCTTTTTTTTAACTAAGAGTCTTTATGTTTTGAGTTGTTTCTGAAACTTTGAGATTAATGATGCAGTTTGGATGTTGTACTCAACTCTGTCACATTTAAACTTAAAACGACCCGAGGTTCAAGCAAAAGTGCTTCACAACAGTTTTAAACAACATAAAACTTTTATTACAAAAAAAAGAATATTAATAATAGTAAAATCCTGATTCATGAGCTCCACTAATGTAACAGACAAACTAGGCCTCAGTTATCCCGAAGAGTACTTTGTACTGCTCAGCAATAGTTCCTCATGGAACTAATTTAGCCTGTATATGAAAAAAACTATCCTGTCACACACACACACACACAAAGGAAATATAATACAAAAACATAATATTATTTACATGTAAAGACAGAAATATTTAGTCAAAATAAAACTGTTTAAATTACAGTGTTTTAAAACACACAACTGGAAAATCAAGTTATTAAAATCACATGCAACGGGTTGAAATAACTACTGGTACAAATCAAAAAGAAAATACAGTTCACTCACTACACTTCTGATGAGGCTAAAAACTGACTTTACTTTCTTTGCTGTGCATTCTGGCTTCTTTTGGAGGTCGGGTCATCTCTATTAAGAAATGCAAGGACCTCCATCTTTACTTTGCAGTCCTTGCAATGTGAACGGAGTTTTATAAGAGGGATCCTAAAAATCCAGTCTGTGGCAGTCCAGCTGCTTGTTTAAGCTCAGAAGACTTTTATTTCCCCTTCGGGTTCCACTGCGGCCTCCTGAGTAGAGGGTTTCTTGATGCGTTGTCTCTGGACTCAGCAGCCCAGGCGGGAGGTGGAGACGTAGGCTGCTCCTCTTCTGCTTCATGATGCACGTTTCTCAAATTATCAGCCGAGCTGCTGTCATTATCGATGAAAGTGCGGCGAGGAGCAGGAACGCGGGAATCACTAGAGGAGGAGTTTGTTCTGGGCTTGCCGCCCCCGGTCCTGCCCCTGTCCTCCACTGTGCTCTCATCCAGCACGCTGACAGACGGAGCCTCCTGCAGGGTGTCCAGCCTGCGCAGAGGCATCATGGCTCTGGAGGACGAGCGTGAAGGCTGGTTAAACCGAGAGCGTCTGGAGGGGTAGGCCACCTCTGACATGGTCTCCTGATCATCTGGAATCAATGGAGAGAGTAAAATAGTGACCCGTTTATTGCCATGACAACACATAACAGTTAATAAGCAAATGAACGTGGGTACGGTTAAAACTGGTTGAGCTGCTTGTGGGTATCACAGACTTCAGCTTTGTTTGAAATTCTGCTACAGATTTCTGTTCAACTTTCTCAACATGATGTGGAATCATGCGGAATCTTTTTGGAAATATGTATTAAATCATTCAGAAAATCATTTTATTTAATTAAAGTTGAACAATTCTGTGAGTCTGGTCAGTCAGTGAGAGCATGCTAACATAAATTATGTTGTTTGCAAATAATGCAAGCTGAAAAAAAATCCAGAAGCTTCAGTGTTTATCCAGCTCTGCATCGGTCTTGAAACCTTTCTGTGTTCTAACCTCTCTCCATTTTAAAAAGCATCTCCAATATGTGTCCTATTTTTTACCACCCTTCTGTTCGTGGGGCTTATTAGAAAAATGCCTAGGCCTTTTAGGTCGGGTAGAATCAGTTATATCTGAACCAGTTCGCTTGCCCGCGCCAATCAAGCTCCAATAGATGCAACACCTGTTGCTTTGCCTGGCAAACTTAGGTGTGTCCAAAACGGCCGTGTGCGACACCTTAAAACCGCCGACCTTCTCTAGTCAATTGTAATAAAAAGATGCCTCACCATAGGTTTTAGTTTGGACATTTGGAACAATTAAAAGACCACTACCAGAAGACCTGAGGTCTCACAAGTTAAAAGCAAATCGTATAAATAGGGGGGCGCGAGGCCAGTAAGAGCTTTAAAAACCAATAAGATAATCTTAAAATCAATTCTAAAACAAACGGGTAGCCAATGCAGAGACTTTAAAAGCGGTGTAATGTGTGCTCTCTTTCTGACAAATGTCACAAACATGGTGCTGCTAAAACAAAGTTGATGAATTTCATCTTTTTGGGAATAGGAATGTATTCCCATAAAAGTTCAGATACATTTCAGCGGTGGACTGATTCACAGAGCAGCTGAAGCCCCTAAAGACACTCCACTTTGCATGGCTGAAATGTGATGTGTGAAACTGTCAAAAGCGACAGAAAAGCCAAAAATAAACCCTGCGTGTATGATGCGTTTTCAAAATTCAAATTTTCTGATAAGAAATACAAAACATGTTGTATCAAGTTATTTATGGTAGTTAAGAAGTGTACCTGTGTTGCTCAGCCTCACAGGAGGAAACTTTGAGTCCAGACTTTTCCCAGCAGGAAGAGAGAAGTACTTATGAGATTTGGGCACCACCTGAGTACAACATGGATATGAAACAGGAAATCGATTAGAGGAGAGAACACATGAAGAGGAGAAAATATGGGATGAAAAGTAAAGCATCCCTTTAATTAATTTGTTTGAAAAGTTAATAAACATCTTATGAAGTATAACTCTGCATTCACAAGCAGACGTTAAAATGAATAACAATGTCGGTTTAAGAGTTTTCCTCCTTCCTACCGATGACTGAAAACTTCCAGGACGGATGCTTCTTCGGATGCTGGCATGGCGTCTGATCAGAATCTCTCTCGAGTGGCTTTCATTGGGAAGGGCGTGCTTGCCTGTGAACGCCACCGTCTGGTTAAGAAACACAAAAAAAAGGGTTAAATTGTATAACTTTACAAACTTCCTGGAGCAGAAGTAGACAACCAGGAGACAATTCCTGCTCACATATTCCACCATTGTGTGTGTAATAACAGTGTGTGTGAGATAAGAAAAAAGCAGAGACGGAGAGTTTCTGTTCTTTTCAGTTCGGACAACGGCATTCTTTGAAGCTCAGATTACTCAATCTAAAGTGGCCACACCTGTTTGGTCATTGTCTCTGTTTGGACATGCAAGCAGCAAAACACTAACCTCCTCCATATAACGTACTCATCAGTGTCAACACACTTATTTCTGTCCTGTAGCTATTAAACCTCAAACAAACATCACTCCTAAAAGTCTGTCGACTATATGCTCCTTTCTATTTCAAATGAGCTTTAAAAACAGGAACAGATCTAACGTCCTCTTTAGTTGAGATTCCATTCTTTTCTAATCCAATATCAAATCGATAAAACCCGCTGGACACGGGGCGCTGGTGGCGTAGTGGTTAGAGCGCGCACCCCATGTATGGAGTCCTCCAAGCGGGCGGCCCAGGGTTAAAATCGACCTGAGGCTCCTTTCCCCTACTCTCTTTCTCCCTGATTTTTGACTCAATCCACTGTCCTAAGGCACAAAAATAAATAAATCTTTAAAAAACTCTTTAAAAAAAAAAAAAGGCCATAAACACCAGTTTTCCGAACATCACAGTCAGAAGGTGACAGAGTTTATTTGCGGAGAAGCGAGGGGAAAGAAGAAGATAATCAGAAACCTCATCTATCAAAAGAACAGGAGCACATGCTTCTTGTTTAACTGCACATCAAAGCTCCTCTGGGCCTTCATTGAATGATGGTGATGTCATTTCTCGAATGGAAAAGTACTGCTGGCAATGTAAAAACAGCTTTGAGTTTCAGAGTAATCACATCATGTGTGAGAGAAAGGCGTCTCTGAAACTCTGCAGTGAAGAAGGAAGCTGGGATGACATGTGAAGTACAAATATGTTTAACAAACAGGTATAACAGGATCAGAGGGGAAAGAATTTGATTCATTTATCTTATCTAGGGAAGTAATTTCTGTCATGTTGTAAAAATCAAAAGCGATCTCACAACTAACAAACTGTATGTGGAAGGAGAGGTTCATGTGGCTTCTCATTAGAAGTTAAATATTCTCAGATCTGTAGAGTAGCACATGTTGGACTCCAACGCTTGTTGATTCATGAAGGAAGGATGAACTAAAGTTCAACTTTCACCCCACTGTTAACAGTCAGCTCATGAAGCTAAACTTCAGCAGCAGAAAAATTAAAACGCATGGATTCTTTTTTTTTTTTACCGTTACTCAAAAATGACTTGGTTTGAAGCCTCACAGTGGTCATTAAATAAATCTGTGAGGCTAAGACATTATTCATTCAATCAAAGCTCAATCAAGTCAAAATTAAATATTTCTTTCTCACGTTCTCCATTGCATTCTATAAAAAGGAAAAAACGATAAGGACAACACTCTAAATTTTGTATTTTTAATTGCCGCACAAACATTTCGAGCCAAGGCTCTCAAAATTTGGATTGCTGTCCTTATTGTTTTTCTTGTTCAAACATTTTTGGGGATTCAGCACCCAGTTGGGTTAGGAAATGGACTTCTAGATGTCAGAGTCACCCTTGTGTATATCTTTGACAGTCTATAAGCGCTTTAGTCAGGAACTGTTGGAGCCCCCTATCTTTTTTAGTGATTCCGCACCACAGGAACTATGAACTATTTTAGTTCCTAGAACCCCATTTAGAGGAACCTTTTTAGCTCCTGCTTCAGCGTAGCTACCATGGCGGGGCAGATGCAGACGGAGAAAAAGTCCTTTTGGTTTGTAGTTCTCAGGGAACTCTCTAGAGGATAGTTCCTGAACTGTTTGGTCTAAAAACGCCTTATTGTATTTTTATAGGCTTTTGGTATACTGTTTTTATTTGTAAAATGTCCCCACATCAGTCCCAGAAAAATAAAAAAGCGCATCCAAGTTAAAAAAAAAATCAACAGTGTCTCTGAAAAGTATCGGAAGTAAGGTAGCAAAAATAGATATAATGTAGAAATGTAAAGTTTGGTAAATGTACTTTCTAGTCTTCTGACTACTCAAAGCTCTTTTACACCGCAGGACACAGCTACACATTCACACACTGGCAGAGGCTGCTACATAAAGGGACCATCAGAAGTAACTAATCCATTCATACACATTCATACGGCGTCGACAAAACAGCAGGAGAAACTTGGGGTTAAGTGTCCTGTTCAAGGACACATCGGGTATGTAGCGTCCCCCTTCCGGTTGAGAGACAACCGACTCTACCAACGGAGCCACAGACGCCCCAGTTTAAACCGCAAAGTTTAAATTCCCCAAAACTGTAAAGAAATAAACGGACTTGCATGAAGGCAAATCGTTTCTTTACAAAACAGTGATGCAGGATAGAAAAGCAGGTTAGTGTGATAAAAGCTGTAATCCAGCAAATCAATAAAATATCTCACCCGTTGCCTGATCTTGTACATGTTCTTTGAAAGGATGTCATGCATGTTCTTCAAGTCTGCAGTCAAGAACTTCTTCCTAGGTCTAGCAGAACTTTTCTTCTCCTCACTATAAGACATTTAAAACAGATTATTCAAAAAAAACGATATTCAAGCAGCACATGTGATTGTCAGAAACAGAAATGACGGTTTTCTTACTATAGAGAGACAATGGACGGAGCAGCACTGATGTCTCCAGCCACTGTGTCCAGGATCTCCATGGCATTCTGCAGCTCCAGCTTCTTGTACAGCGCCACAATGCTGGACTCAGCCCGGTTGTCACGGATCATGATCCTCCGCAGGATTCGATTGTTGAACTTCATAAACCTGACAGAAAAGAAAAGAGGGAATAAGGTTTGTTATGGTTGTCAAAAAGTTTGAAAAGGAGATATATGGTGGTCCTGTTGCAGTGACTCACTGTGGCCTACAAATATCCAGACAAGACCAGTGCAAAAAGAAAATTAAAAACAAGAATCCAACATTTGCGGTGATGGTTCAGCAAATTGGCATTTGAATAAATGCAATAACAATGTTGGTGTTAGTACGTATTTTCATGATTCATTCATCTTGATATGTGGACATATCTTTGAATTGTGTCAACCATCTCAGAGGAATTCTTCTTTTAGGTTTGTGAAGCTGTAATACATATGTGTTAGAGACCTCATAGCAGCAGAGTTATATTTGGATTGAAGTGTCTGTTGTGAGCTGAAAAGGAAATGTGACTCTGAGACTGAAGAAATGTAAATGTCTGATATTTAGGAGTCAAGCTGATGTCTTCTGTCTAGCCTTTTAGAGATGAACCGAAGCAGCCAGGAATTAGTGGGCTGTACCTTCTAACAGAATATAAGCAACACAGTGAAGATGAAGACTGGGCCAATGATTGCAAGCGATTGTGAGATGTTGGTCAGCATGGGTCAGCGATGGTCCGCACTTTGTCAGCCATGTGTGTTGTGTTTCTGTGTTGTCTGACCATGGCTGAATAAATCCAAGCTGATCCACAGTCTGTTTCACGATTTCATCATTGTTCATCTACTATAGAAAAAAAAAAAACACCTAACAATGTTTTTTTTTTTTTTTTCTACAAATTCTCTAAAACATTTAAAGTCAACAATAAATTCATAATGGAGAAATTTTCCATCAGTGCAAAGTAAATGAATTGTTGCTGGTGAGAGAATATCAGCAGTTGTATTCTTAAAGGTCCACAGATGTGCTGGGCCTCAACTTTAATTTAAGAGCTGCATATAAAAAAAAGTATTGCAAAAGGTAACAGTAACTTCAGATAACAGAAAGTAACTTGACATGTTGTCATGTTTAATATTGCAAATATTTCATTCAAATAAAAATGTTCAAGCAACCAACTTTAAAGGGCCAATATGTAAGATGTCTCCTGAATTAAATCAGAAAACAACCTTACTATGTCATCGGACATTTAGGTTATATGCTGTTTGTTTTGACCAGAGGAGGTAGGCGGTTTTAAGGCACCTCCTAGCCGTTTTAGACGCCCCTCGGTTTGCCAGGCTAACGGCAAACCAACAGGCATTGCAGCGATGGAACCCATCAACCAAACTGGTTCAGATATAAATTATTCTACCCAACCTAAAAAGCCTCAACATTTTTCCAAGAAGCTCCACAACCACAAAGGTGGTAACACATTGAAGATGCTTTTTAAAATGGAGAGAGGTTAGAGTGCAGAAAGGTTTCAAGACCGATGCAGAGCTGGATAAACACTGAAGCTCCGGTGTGCATCACATGGCAACAAGTGTGCACATCCACGTCTTTTTTTTTCAGAGGCTTACAGCTTGTTGTTGAATATGTACTTAAATCTCAATCAATCAAGTATTATTAATTCTTATTATAACTATTATTATTACATTATTATTATTAAATTATTATTATTATTATATATTATTCTTATTTTATTACTATTATTATTCTTATATTATTACATTATTATTATAATTATTATCTACATTCTGAAAGTCTTTCAAGACAAGCTGTTGGAGTGTGTTGCATTGGTGGCCCTGCTGGTGTGACGACAAAAGATTGAAAAGAGGCGATGAGGAAGCAGGTCAAACATGTTTCAAAGCTTTAGGAGGGAAAACAATCCACAGCGATGCTGCTCATGGAGGAAGCTGAACACGACTCCAGGGTGTGATTATAGCTGCCAACATTCGCACACAGCCCCGCAGTGAACAATAGATCGTCAAACAAAACCACAAAGAGGGAAACTGAGAGCTGCTAAACTAAAACTTACATCCCTCTACCTGTTTCCCTGCAGGTCGCCTCACTTTAAACATAATGATATGAAGCAGTTAAACAGCGGGGTGGTGTAAGGTGTAATGAGAAGCGGGAACATTTGCAGGCTACTCATGACTGTCCTTAAACAACACGAGGTCAATAAAAGCCTTTTATAGAACAGAGAGGAGGAAAACGTCTTACTTGTCCTTCCAGTAGAAGTGGCTCCACTGTCCACACAGATCCTCTATGCCAGCGATGGTGTGCTCCATAAGCTGGGAGAAAATGTAAACCTTTTCATGATCTGACCTACAAATACATGATGTCAAACACTTATATAAGAACCAGTGGCTTACCCTGCAGTGAACCTCTGAATTGATGGTATCGACGTCGCGGTTTGTTCTGCGCACATTGACGAACTCAATCAAAGGTCGAATACTGATACCCTGCAGAGGCAACAAGAATGATTACAGATTCAGCAGATAGCCCCAAAAGAATAAGAGGGAAAGCTTTAAAAATTCAAATAGACAATCAAAAGTTGGACTTTCAGCTCGTAAACTAACTTAAAGCATCCTGACTGTAAAGATTAAACAAATTTGAAGTACATTTCAATTTAATTTAATGCTCAAAATATACAATCAGTTGGACTAATTTGCGCTTTTTTTTTTTTTTAATCATATATTCAAATGTATACATAGCCTATAGAGGAGCTTAGATTCTCTTTGAACATGTCATTTCACTTCACAGTGTCAGGCTCAGAAACAAACTGGAATTTAAATGTACAATTTCTCCCCCACCGATATCTTATAATTTTCCTTTTAATGTCAAATGTATTATATATTTCCTTAGCTGGACATGTAACAACACTTCACTACACACTGTGCCATGTATAGTTCCAGATGTGGCCATTAAATGTGACATTGAAATTTGAAACGCTCTTACATAGATTCCAAAATCCCTCGACAAGAAATGTGTTCACAGGTCAACACCTTACCAGCAGAACTCAAAGTGGATCCTGTTGCTGCTCATTTTACACTCAAGGAGGGTAAAGTCATGTGGTCATGAACGAGCAGGTGACCCCTTGTGTTCATATTGCACATACATATTGTTGAGTTTGTGATTTGAACCATCACCTGTGTGTTGTTCATTTATATATTATTGAAAGGCCAAATGATATTAGGCTGTAACTCCTGCGTTGTTGTTTTTTTTGTTTTGGTACTTTATACATACTTTATCCCTTTGAACAAAAAAAATGAATAATTAAGTTCTTAATCCTGACACAGGAGAATGAAGAGCAGCATTTGGAGCAGTGCAAAATGCGAGAGTTCAAATATCAGAAGGATAGAAATAAGAGTCATTATCAAAACAAGTCAAGATTGTTCTGACATCAAGTCAGGATCCGAGATCATTTTATCCAGATCCACACCATTTGTAAAATAATAAAAAAGTTATAATCTGGATTTTAAACCATTTGGCTTGGATTAAATGATTTTTCTTTCATGATGTCTGAGACTTTCATAAAGACTCCAAAAATGATTTATTTGACTTCCAACTTCCAACGATTTTCGTCAAGCAAAGTAAATTCAGCAAAAAAAAAAAAAAGATGATTTAATAATCTCTTACCTGAAGAAAGACAGTGAAGAGGATGATAACGATGGTGGCTGTGATGAAGAGCTGCTTGCGGCCAATCTCATTGGGGAGGGTGAAAGCCAGAGCGAATGAAATTGCACCTCGCAGACCACCGTAGGCCAAACCAAACTGATCTTTCAGGTTGAATGGGATGGTTCGGAAAGGGTTAATGATCTGAGTCAGCACAAGGACACCTGAGGTGGGGGGAAGGTGAGAACACATTGAAATGTTATTTCTTGAGTACAGAAATTTATTGTTTTACAGTTTAAAGTCGCGATACATTTCAATGAAACATTCATATTTAAATGTGGTTATCAATGTAGTGCTCAACTCAGATTTACAATAATAATAATAATAATACATTTAATTTGTAATTCACTTTACATTTTGTGCTATCGTCAAGTTTGGACTTTATTGTCATTATTTTAGGCTGTTAACATGTTTTTAAAAAATGCCCATATGGGGGGGAAATGTTCACACAAACCTGAACTTACAGGCAGGTAAAGTAGACCATAAATATGTTGTTTACTCCTAAACATAGAAAAGTTTTGTTTTCATTCACTGCTGCTGACTACAATCTCTTGGGTGCATCCTTCAATGTAATTTTTACCCTCAAGGAGCATTTACAAAGTCTGGCAGAGCAAAAACTAATTAAAGGATGTGCGCTTTCATATGCTTGTAAATCCTATGTTTGGGCAAGAAAAATGGTTAGCACTCATAAAAATACCACATCATTGAGCTACTATTGGTCAAAACCCTCATGAGACACCTTACATCCTGCAATGAGGCCGAGCGCCCCCAACTCAAACACAACCTGACCTTCAAACATGACAAAGATAACCCTCTGCCCTCTACTCACCCAGACCTCTCCACACGAAAGCAAACAGCAGCGTGAACATGATGTAGCCCCAGTTCCACTCGTGCTCCGTCGTCACGGTGACGACCCCCAGGAAGAAGAAGATGAGCGTCTCGGAGATGGAGCCGAGCATCTTGATAACATGGCGGATGGTTGTGCAGGAACGCTGGGAGACGTTTTCCTCCACGTAGTACTTCATGGTGAGGGCGCAGGTCACAATGCTGCGGGGGAAAAAAAGAAAAAAAACATCCATCTGTGTTTTTACTGTTTTCTTGCAACATCTTTAAAAATATTTGGATTCGGAAAAATTCTAAAAAAAAAATCTACTTACGCCATGATGGAAGAGATGGTGAACAGCTCGGCCACCAGGTAGGCCAGGTAGCTGTACATGAATATGAAGAGCGGCTCGATTTCTCGCACCTTGGAGGTGAACCTGGTGGTGAAGGCGGCCACGAAGCCAAACAAGACGCCGAAGCCCATTCCCCCGAGCCCAACCACAAAGAACTTTGCCACCCCGAGGAAAACATCCGTCGGCACCACCTCGCCCATCTCAAAGTTGAAGATGTTGTACAACACCTGGGAGAAAAGGAGTACACAGGTGCATGCATGTTAATACACCAGTCTTTTTATATGCACAAACAGAACCACACATCACATCAAGAGGTCAAGGGTCGGGTCAGGGGCTGCGGCTTCTAATCACAAGGTCGCAGATAACAGTGATTTATTGAAATATTCACTGTGCACTGTTTGCAATTTGATAAGCACATTTCAACAAACATGCTCCTGACCCTTTAGAAACAAAAGCCTTTACCGGAGTGACCGGCTGTCTTCTCTACGGTGGCTGGGAAGTGCAAAGCAAAAGTACAAAGTGTGAAACACAAAATTTGACACAAATCTACATTTTCAAATTTCATAAAACAAAATTACAAAACCAAAACAGGTGAAACACTTTTGTTTGATGAAATGTTAAAAAATGTTTTTGAAAATGTAAATTTGTCTCAAATTTTGCAAAAGTGTTTCACACTTTGTACTTTTGCTTTGCACTTTCCAGCCACCGTACTTCTCTGATAATATCTGCACCGAGGACTGGGGTGGTCACAACACCAGAAATGTAATACTCTGTATGATACTAGTAAGCACTCAACAACACAGAGAACATGACAAGCTACTTTACTGACTTTGTGGCTTAGTTTGAGTCATTTCTTTAGTGAGTCACTGAGTCACTGTTCTTTATGCGTTACATTAACGCCCACTGGACTTTAAAAAATATTTTCCTTACATGCACTCTGTGAGTAGTTACACACACTAAGATTTTTTCTCATAGTCCACTGCACCTTTTGTACATTTTGTTTTTTATTTTTATATATTGTAATAGCTTCTTATACTGTTTTATTTAAGTTGTTGCTAGTTCTGCTTTTATTTCCTTGTTAATTGTTTAGCACCAATACACCAAGTCACATTCCTTGTATGTGTAAATGTACTTGGCAATAAACCCAGATTCTGATTCTGATTCTGATTTCAGTCATGACACTCCGGGATTTCTCGACAATGAAGGCTGTCCACGCTGTGTGTCCGTGCTTGTGCTCCTGCATGAACCGTATCGTGCCGAAGCACACCTCTTGGAAGCGTGCCAGAGCCAAGGGGGCGTCCCTAGTTTTGCTCTTGGATTAGCCTCTCAAACATGTGGTTAACAAGCCTTTGAAAGGTCAATGACAAATAGAAGCTTATTTGTGCCAGTTTAACATTTATTAAAAGTAGATGGGTATGTAGAGTTAGGCCGCAACAGTTCCCCTTTTTTGAATTTGTGTATTAAATATACACATGATAGCATCAGCTGTTTAATAATACGATCCTACTTGAATTACCTCCAACCTTTGTTCTCCTAAAACTAACGCCAACTTTTAACCTAACTTGGAGCTGCAACACTCAAGTATCAGCACTTTCTGCAAATATGACATCTTATTTTCAAAGACCACACCTGGTCTTTAATGGGATCTTGGGCAAATGTTTACCTTCAGTTTCTGCGTCAGCTTGGCTACTGTGTACTAAACAAAGAGGTCAGTGCCACACCAAAGGTAAGAGCTGGTTTATGGAGGTGGATGGGCGGGTTTGTTTAAGCACAATGAGAAGAGGCAGAGTGAGGGAAATTTGAGCACAAGTCCACTACAGTCAAGTTTCAGATGATGATTGTGTTAGTGTATGACTACGTGTGTGTGTGTGTGTGTAGCTCCTCCCATATAACCAAATGACTTCAGAAACAGGTTTGGTGGCATCTATGCAAACAAAGCTACACAGCTCAGATCTGCAGAAACATCAGTTTTAACGTCTCTTAACAACATTCCTGAAGTTCCATTTTTTAAACAGGTAACCTGTTCAGCAATGTCACCAGTGCAGAGATATTTCCTCCCACACATCATGCACACCAACCTAGAAAAAAGAAACTGGACAGTATCTGTTGAAACCTGAGCTGAGCCTTTTAGAGAAAGAAAAAGTAAATGTGATACTCGATCTGCTCTTCATATAATAGCAGTCTTGAAATAAAGGGTCCAAGCTGTGTGCTAAAGTTGGAGTTTTAAGAGTCTCCAAAATTAACAACATTAAAAAATAAAATAAAAACCTGAATCCTATCGCACATTATTGAGTGTGGCGAGTTGAAAGTGCTTTGAAATAAAAGGGAAAAGGGAGATACATTTAAAAAAAAAAATCAAAAACAGCAACTTATCAAAAAAGAAAACAGCATCCAAAAAGCATTAAAGGTATAGGAACAATACTAAGCATGAAATAACAATTAATTATGTTGAAAGAATATGTCAGTAAGTTAAAGACACTGGGGTGTAAATATTTTTAAATGTAATTTATAAATTTGGGGCATGGTTACATAATAGCTAAGCTGCACATTTCTGGTATTTCTGTGATAGCTTGTATTTAGAAAACCAGTTAAAGATACTTTATAAGAACCTGGGCAAGACGATAAAACCATAAAGAGTTAGTAATGTAGGCCGATCCCCAAACATAAAAAACACTTCAATCCTTAAAGGCTTTATATGTGATTTTTTTGACCAGCAGATGTCGCCCTTGAGCACCAGCATGAAACCAAAACAACTCGCGCTGCATTGTTGTGTTAGCATGCTAATGCTAGCGATCTTTATTCTGCTGGTATCTTCACACTGCATGTAAATTTACCTGAAATGAGCGTGATCTAGAAACACAGTTAAGCAGTGAGTACAGTATGTTATTCTTCTTTTCTCTAGTCCCTCAATTAAACAACTTTTATACACGAGGGGAGGAGTCAGCCGACCGTCCTGGCGATGTAAACAAACTGAAGATAGGACTCTGAAAACTCTGAAAACATCACAGACAGTGGGACTCGGGTGTTACACCCATTGTAGACAGTCATGACTCACAGAGTTATTTTCAGAGGAGATACTTGATTTATATTATAAATATATAATAATATATTTATAATATAAAGTCTTTAAAGATATTTAGAGTTTGTGCAGGTAAGCTAGGTCTGAGGTGAATCATTTGTTCTTTCTCTTTCAAAACCAAACAGCAAACTTCCTAATTATTTTATTTTATCAATGGGATAGTTTGGAAAGAGTAAAAGGTGAAAAACAGTGGTCAGTCTGACTGATATCAAAGCAGAAACAAGTTTCTCAGGTTTAGTTGAGATAGGAAAACTTGTGTTGATGGTCTGTCAGCTTTCATTTGCTCTCTTTGACATGTAGAATGTTTTGTGATGCCGTTTTAGATCACTGAAGTATTTCAAATGATCCTAAACAATGCCTTTAACAAATTTAAACCACATTGCTCTGAATGTTTCCACAACAAGCGGGTAGCCTGAAGGGATCTAAAGCAGGCTGACAGGTCTCAGTATGAAGTAAAAGGGGTTCTAAACAGCACAACTGTCCAAAAGAAATCCCACTATTGTGCACAGAAATGCACCCACACTGACAGTTTCTGTCTCAGCCTACTCACCACGGTGACAGCATCATTGAAGAGACACTCTCCGAACACCACGATGTAGAGCTGCTCGTTCACAGAGACGTCCTCGAACACGCTCAGCACGGCCACGGGGTCCACAGCAGAGATGATGGTGGCAAACAGCAGGTTCTCCTGGAGGCTGATGTCCTGAACGCCGAAAGCCTCGATCTGACAGATGGCGAATAGAGACATGCCAATGCCTATGCTGTTCCACAGAGTCCCCACAATTGCAAACCACAACACCTGCAAAACAACAACACACACACACACACACACACAGGGAAATGTCACTTTTTCTGCAGAGGGAGAGAACAAGTTGAACCTGTTTTGAGGAAACTGGTTGTGTTTAAAACAAACCGTGCCGATGTTCTCAAAGAAAGGCCTGGTGGGCATGAAGTAGCCCGAATCCAGGACAATCGGGGGGAGCATGTAGAGGAAGAAGACTTCACTGGAGAGCACGGCAGGGGGCTCCTCATGGACGGAGTGCATGATGGCCCCCACAATCAGACCAATGCTGATCAGAAGGCAGGACTCGGGCACCCAGATGGTGATCTTGTGGTAAACATGGAAACCTATAAAAGAGAAGATGTCACTTTAGTAACAGGGTTTATGAAAATGAAGCACTTTCTGCCGATCTAGATTCTCTTTAAAGAGGTTTTAAAGACAAAATATCTCCACCGTTTGGCAATGCTTCCGTTACTCACCAATCTTTGCAAATGAAGCCAGCAGAATCCAGAGAGTGATCTCAAAAGGTATCTGTATTCTCGGGTAATCCATTGTAAATACAGGTAAATAAACTTTAGAAGGTTCTGGATAGGCGTGGGGGACATTGGGCTTAATCGGGGGCACAATCGTGACACCGCTTGGTGCTGGTTTGGCTGGGATTTCTCCTCTGGAGCCATGAAGAAGACTTAAAAATGTGAAAATGAGGAGTAAAACTCCCGTTCGTCTGGCGCTGATTAGATCCATCAGACACGGGGAACCACAACAAGAGAAATCGAAATTGATACCAATACAACTCCAACTTCAGCGTGGAAAACAGAAATTAGTGAAGGACCCAAGAAAATCCGCTTCTCCTTCAAGGTTGACTATTTATCTCATGTTCTCACTCCACCATAGCGGTATAGCTCCTCACTTTGGGTTTTTTCTGCAGGCTCAACAGTTGCTGGAGTCTCCTTCCATCGACTCATCTGCGGGGACTACACACCTGTGCTTCACCTGAGTTCCGATGCGGCAGGCAGGGCGCGGCCCTCGAGCACGGCTCTGATTGGGTGTCACCCGCAGCAGCTCAGACAGGTGGGACATGAAAGGTGTTTCTGTGGGACATTCAGGTTCCTCTTTGTACTTTCGGTGAAGCCAGATTCCTGAATTTCAACTTTCGCCTCGTCCCTGATTCACAGTTTTCTTGGACCTATTGCCTCGTTATTAAAAAATAAATAAAGTCCTGATGTAGGCTAGATGTGCACACAGTACACCTATCAAGTTTATTTTTTATTCTTACCTTTGCCTAATAATTAAACACTTTTATCTCAAAAATAGGATTCAAAAATATTAATATAAAATATATTCAGGCTATAAATTAATATTTAAATAGGCTAGATAATGAAGATTGCGAATATTTGCCTTCTATGTCGTGATGTAGACTACATCACAGCAGCCTATGATTAATTAAATTCATTTACTGGCATAACATTAAAGGGTTACAATCACGAAAAGATTAATACGAATAAATCAAGAACAGAAATTTGATATCCTACAGGTTATTCTAAAATTGTCCATTCTTTAGAAGTAGGCTATTTGGACTTAAATATATTTATTCTTCTTATATTTGCCTACATAACTCCTAAGAGAAGGCCTGTTAAATCACTTACTTTAGTTAATATGAGCGTTTTTGGGGTTTTTATTTTATTTTTATCAATGCTCTTGTTTTCTTAATTCACGTAAAGTTTTTCATCCACCCTGAGCTCGTTTCTGTTGGTACAATCTCATCAGCAGATCGGGCCGTTAGTGCCCCCTTGCGGAGTGAGGAGGCACTGCACCCAGAAGGAGGAATTACGTCTCGATGTGTCAGAAGGGGAGTCAGGGCGAGTCTTGACTGCAGACATCGTCGAGGATCCTACAAGGATGCTCTTCAACATGAACAGAAATCTTCTTTTCTCCCTCAAAGGTATGTCTCATATGTCTTTTTTTTTTTGTGTCTTTCACATTTGACATGTCATCATTTTTGATTGGGTTAGGGCGTGTGTACCGTACAGAAAGAGCAGCACCTCCTCGTAGCAGGGTCAGAATAAGACATGTTTACACCCATTAGCAAAGGACTCAAATGTCGATGTATGTGCTCGCTTCTTAGACGTGGCTTGTTTTTTGTTTTAGTTGAGCTGAACGAGGTGTACATCCTGCAGCATCATGCAGCAGCAGCATCACTGAAGGAGCATCAGCAGATGTCATGACGCAATATTTGTTATTGCCCGTGTGACAGTGGGGGAAAAAAATGTATCCATTGAAGTAAAATCACAGTATTTTTAACTCAATGTTGCTATAAATAGATTCTAGTGTGCAGCTTTTGGCTTCCTTCTGGTTTATCTTCACGGTTGCTGGCTGGTGTACAGACCGGGTGACACCCTTGTTTCATGCAGGTTTATGAATGGCTATGGGGAGTGTTGGCTGCAGGATTATGGAAAATAATGGGTTTTTTTGTACATCAAAAACCGGATATGGTGCTCCTGAACCAACGTGTCACGCCATGCTCAGGCCAACCAGATGCTCTCAACAGAGCGTGTTTTGGATTTGATCTGTTGATAGTTTAAACTCTTTTTATATTAGAAAAATTGAGGCAAAAATTGATTTGGTGAGGAATGAGGCGAACATAAACCGGCTAGTTTTTTACTTTGTTGTTAAATCAGTGATCATCCTGATACCTAAGGATCCATCTCACATAGGAACCCTGTGTTTGATCCTGTAGCTTCATTAGAAAGAGTGTATTTATTATCATCTTTAAAGGTTTCTTTCTCATGCTCAGTTTACTGCTGTCTGGGTAACAAGAGCCTAATTATGCATGATGCTTCTTTCACTTTATGTTTGAGTGTGTGGGGCTGAATCCTCTCCTCTTGGAAATGAACTGCTTTGCATGTTCTCCTCCTACCATGGATTGAGTCAGCTGTCAATGTGTCCATGGTTACAACATCAAATTGCTCATTGTAGATCAGTCTTGAGGGAGAACATGTCAGCACAGCTCAGCTCTGGACTGAATCAGGATCGATATACTGAAATTGAGAGGAACATCAGGGTTAAAGGGGGGGATGCAGGAAAGGAGGGAGATAGTTCGGGTTTAGGGGGGGTTGATGACAAAGCAGAAAAAGGGGGGGGGGGTATGAGACGTTTAAGAGAGATTTAAATTTAGAGGACGGGGAGAGTTAAGAAAGAGGATATGTGGGAGATAAAGGCTCTGCAGTACAGCCGGTAGTGACAGCATCTGCAGGGGGCCAGCTGTGCGCAGCCAGCCAGTCTGAATAACTGGGTCATTTTTGCATCCAGACACCCCCCCCCCCCCCAAGAGGACGGTACCACGAGGACCACCTGAATCCTCCCTGTCCTCACACACACACACACACACACACACACAGCTACAATTGCCTCCTAACGTAACTTATACCTTTTTTGTCCTTCTGCCATTGAAGCTAGGAAACCACTGCATGACCCTGTTTGACCTCTGGAGATCAGAGGTCACTCACAGAGCAGCAGCTGTGGAGCTGGTCACAATTCAGTCTCATCCTAATGGCCTTTTGTCAGTGTGTTAGCTGTGAGAGGGCTTGAGATCTTTAACAACAAGACATTCTTCAAGTAATAATGATCTTTTAATGAACCAAACAAGTGATTACTCAATAAGTTAATGGACAAAAAATAATTACGCGACTATTTGGGAAATTGAATAATCGCTTTTTTATGAGGGATAACATCCATTTTCTTTGGATGTCCAATGCCACATATTGGATTTGGAGTTAGTCAGAGGAAATGGACACTTTGAAATGCCTCCTTGAGTTCTGGGGAATAAAGTTTTTTTTAAATTCTCAATAAATCTTAAGTAAAGTAAGTAAATAAAGTTTTGTTCACTATCAGAAAATGATTAGAAGATTGTCAGCAAAAATAACGGGGAAGTTCTAAACCAGAAATGATTAAGTCATTTGGTGAAATAGTCCAGGTGATTTACAAACTGGGGGGCCATAGACCCCTAAGGGAGCTGGAGTTATTGCAAGAGGGGCGCCACATGACAAGATTCTTTTTTTTTTTGAATGCACAGGGCTGCACTACAAGCAAACCATTGCCAATGTTGTGTTAATTGGCTGTCTGGTAACTATAAGGCTGAATGCACACTGAACATCATAACTACTAGAACAAAAACAAGAAAAGATGTGTCATATCTGGCCCCCCAGCTTTACCCAGTGGTTAATATAGAGAGACCACCAGTGTATGATGTGCATCTATAAGCTCCAGACAGTTTTGAGAAAATCTGTGGAAAGCATTGAATGCTACATGTTGCAGTGTATCCTCTGTAAAAGTAGCATGTATGTTTTTATCGGTTTGATGTCTGAAGTTGGAATTCTGTTTTTCTTTGGAGAAAATGTTTCAAATTGTTTGTAAATGGAACTTGTTGGCAAAGGATGTGTATGAAATTCAGTTTTAATGTTTACTGATGTAGTGGCAACTTAACTCAAACCAAAACCCTCTTGCCACTTCTTGCAGGATTAGAAGTTTAAACACATAAACCTATAAACACACAATATTTCAATACATGATAAATATAAAAAATGGAAATTAATTCTAAAATTCAAAAGTAAAAAACTAATTATAAACATATAAACAAAATTATACTAATGGGCAAATTCTATTTTTATATTAACCTGTTGTCCTCTATGGCGCTAACAATGGATGTCTGTCTATGTTTAAAGTTGTAATGGGGGGGCTTGGAAATATTTTCACTGACTTAAGGGGGGCTCTGTTATAGCTGTTATAGCTGTTCAAAATGTTTCTGTAAATATCAGCCACTACAATTTCCTAACTAACCATCTTCAAATGTCTTTGTTCTTTAGTCCGATCCAAAAGGCAAAAATCAAAAGATATTTAATTTCTACTAAAATATAAAATATAGACAAATTGACAATCCTCTCAATTTACAAAGTAGAACATGAGTATGATTTTTGTTCATTATATCCCTTTCACGATAACACTGTAATCAGATTTGTTACTAATCAATGTTCCATCAACTCATCAAGCTGCTCATTGATTGATATTTTTAGCACCACTCCCGGGCATTTGCTCTCCTTTTAAGCATGTCGCTCATGACTGTCAGACAGATGTTGTGATGATGATGAGCCATGCCTCCCTGTGGTTTCACATTAGATCCACTGAGGGTTTCCAAGAGAGCTTCCCACTTAGCTCCAGGCCGTCTAGATTAAAGCATGTTATATAGGCAGCTCCCACTGACAATAATGTCCTCACAGCTTAATGAAGCAGAGCATCACGCTGTAATTTCATCTCATCGCAGGAAGGTCCCGAAAACAGAAATGCTATTGGCAGAAAGCATCACACTCACATTTTGGAATTTCCTCACTGCGCTGATTATTTTTTGTGTTATGTGTGTTCTGACTTACAGACTATTATTGCTGGTATTACACAGACTAAAACCTAGTTAGTTAAGTTAGTATGAGTCTACAGAAAAGTAATGCAAAACAGTATTGTCATCTGTTAAAGTCACCAAAGTAAACGGGTGTGTGTGTTCTGATCTAATGTACATTTTGGGGGATGACACACACTGAAGTTGTTGATTGGGGACCGCTTGTTGGTCTGCAGTGTGTGTAAGGTAGCTTTAGCAATAGCAATAGCAATTTTATTTATATAGCACATTTCATTACAGATAAGCTCAATGTGCTTTACATTGAGGTTAAAAACAGAATCAAAACACAGCATACAAAAGAAAGAAAGTGTCTCCACAGTCATTAATAATTCATACACACGACAAAGCAAACATCAGTTACCACAAAAGTGATCATACTTACACACACACACATACAAAAAAAAACTATTCATATGCTTTTGAGAACAGATAGGTTTTGAGTTTTGTCTAAACAAGTAGTGGTTAAAGTTATAAGTCTCCAGTACACACACTCACACACTCCATTAATGTGTGTGTGTGTGAGAGTGTTCTGGTTTACCCTACATTAGTGGGACATAAGACCTTGAATTTGTACAAACGGGGACATAAGTCCCAATAGGATAAAGCTAAAGTTTTGGTCAGTGGTTAAGGTTGTGGTTGGTATAGGGTTGAAAAAGTAGCAGTGAGGGTCGGTATAATAATGATATATAATAATGAAAGTCAATATTATGTCACCAAAAGTAACTCACATAGGGACCGTGTTGCACGTGGCATGTGACGTCAAAACCGGTTTCACGTCGTGTAAAAATAGACATCCATTACACAAATGTTAACACATGAATGCACTGCGCTGCACATTCAGTTGTTCTCCTTCGGTCAGTGGATCACAGTGACACACACAAGGCTGGTGGACACCTACAGTAACTTGATTTTTGTAGGGGAAAAGAAAGGAGAAAAATGAATTCCCTCTATCACTCCGAGCAAAGGCAAGTATAGATGTTTGTGTATCAAACACACATGCAAGTAAAATAGTAAAGGTTAACTGAGTCCGACATGTAAACATTAGCCTTTTGAAGCAGCTTTCAGCTCAGTTTAGTCATCAGATAACTTTTCTTTTCCTTTAACCTTTCCCATTTTCTTCCTGCACTGCTTTAATATTTCATATTTCTTCTCCTGCGCTTGTTCTCTGTTGATCATATTTGTGCTTACAGTAACCGTGCTTTACAGGAGCCAATTCAACATCTTGCTCATCTTGTTGCTAATTCCCACTCATGCATCAGTGTTTCCTTCCAATATCTACTGTGTGTGCCACACTTGGCACAGCAGACGCTTCCTGTCCTCTCACAGTTGCACACTTCATTTTGGCAGGCGCAGGTCGGTGAAGTAACAACATGACAACATTATACAGAACTGTTGCTTTTGCATTATGAGCCTTCAAAATAATATAATACTTGTTGGGATGATCAGAGTGATGTTTACATCGAATTGAAATGTCACATATTTTCTGTAAGAGTTTTTTTTAAATAATATACTTAGCAAAGTACCAGTGAAAATTAAAATTTGGCACCCACATTCATGTCTTTTACAAGGTCATTCTCAGTGACCTTGATGACTTTTGCAAAACTGTCCCGTTTGTGAACACTAGTTAATATCTTGAACCAATATTTAAGATTTTTTTTTAAAAGCCGCCGTTTATATTCTTGTTCCCCAGATGATGAACCCTCACATTATCCTTTACAGAACTTTGTGTGACCCTTTGAGGCCCAAACTTTAACAACTCAAAATATATATAAAATGTAAAATACATTGATTATAGTGTCCTAGTGGCCTTTTGGTGAAAGCACAGACCTTGTCAGCACAATTGTTTCATGGTTTAAGTCCAATCAGGGGGTGTCTGTTATTCCACATCCATCTCACTCCTGTTCCTTTACAGCTCAAGTTACTTTTGATTCGCTTAAAGAAGAGATTATGACAACGTAACAGATTAAACTAATACTCCTCAGGGGATGAGGAGTCCCCTAGTCTGAATGGTTAAAAAATCTATTTGAGATCATTTCCATTTTGTCGTTAAAGATATTTGTGGAGTAACTGATGGCTAAGAGGATTACGTTTGGACACTGATATCTGAACTAGAGTGGCTAAGTTTAGAAAAAGGAAAAGTGTGACATTGTTAGTATCTATACGTCTAAGCATTTCATGTGTGACATTAATCATAATTAAGTCATAAAAATTGAAGAAGCAAGAGATGGAAGGTGAGGATTCAATCTGCTGCAGCGTGTCACATCTCGCAGCTGTGTGAAAAGTCACACTTTTCCTCACAGGTTTTTTTTTTCCCCACTGCTTATATTAGCACATCATGAGAGGGGAAGAAAGAAGTCAAGCACTGTAGAGAAAACTACACACAACCCCTCATACGTCGTTTATCTCATCGTGTAACATCAGAGCAATGTCAAGATCGCTCATATTAGCTATTCATTGCTTCAACGCTGCATCTTGAGTTATGTTATGCTGCCTGAGATCAGCCACTTGAAGCCACTTATAAGCAGTTTTCTTATTCTGTCTTTAGTTAGACCTCAGCTGGCATCTTAATAAAAATGATGACATCACAATCAAAGATGATCCATGGCCGTACAAAGATGATCACTTTGTTTGTTTCTTTTTTTTTTCTTTCAGAATTATCGATGTCAAATGTGTGACCGCGCCAATCAGTAACCAAAAGGACAACCAAAGGCGCACACATCCAAACGAACTAAAGAGGACAAGTCGAATTCGCACATTTTTCTTTTTTTAGTGTGGTGGCACAACATTGTTCTCCTCTTCAGCCATCAGCCCTGACGTGAAACCCACCATGTCCGGGAAGGAGCGCAGCCCCCGCCACCGGCCGTGGTCGGTCTACCGGGCCAACACGTTTGATCTCTCGGCTGAGATGATGGGGCTGGCTCTCTCAGGTAACTAAGTAACTGCTACCATGGTAACCCTTTCGCTTCATTAATGATGATGAAAAAAAACAACAACTCCCCCTCCTCCTCTTTCTCCCTCATCATTACAGGAAACAGTCAGGATCCAGACGAGCCAGTGCTGGAGTTTAGCGTGGGTAAGTTCAGAAAGATCCACTTAGAAACCCTGCTGCAAATATACAGAGGAATCTAGTAATAATAATAATAATAATAATAATAATGAGTAATGGTCTGAAAGATAAAGTTTGAAAAGTCCACACCAGACTCATCTACGGGCTCTAATGGTTACACTGATTGTCATGGCTGTAATGATCTTGTACATGGCTACAGTTATGCTAGAACAGCAAATGTTCTTCCCCATTCTGTTGCCATAAATTTGGAGGCAGCTATTTGGCTATAATGTGTTTTATCGTGTTGCTTTGAAAATACACTTAATACTTACTTATACTAAACAGATAGCTCAAACCCTGATTAAAAAAACAAACACTTTGCCCAGGAATTAGCCATAGCCACATTTATTCATCAGACTACAATGAGGAAAACTTAATCACTCAATGGAACATGTTTCCGCTGTTCTAGATTGAGCTTGGTTATGTGAGGCTTGCATGCAACTGTCCGATTCATGAAGCTTCATAAGCAAAGTTTATGTGCTGATTATGCATCCAGGGGTCAGTTAGGGACTCGAGTGTGTGATGCAACAGATGATAGGCAGTTTTTTTTAGCACTGTTTGGCCCATGTGAGTTTGTGTGGCTTAGCTGCTGTTGCTTCTGGGCTCTTCCACTTCACATGAATAGCACTAACAGATGAGAAGGATGAGAAATTCCACAAACCGACTCGGGGGGGTAAAGGTTGCATCTTCCACCATAACTCATTATTTATTAAAACTGCAATATAATAATAATAATAATGAATAATATGTCCATGATAACAAAGTGCAATATTGAAACAAACAGTGCAATAATCTTTAAAACGTTTGTATATATTCCATCTGACTCTTATTCCTGTAAATATTTCTTGTACCTATTATTGAAATCTTACTTACATTCCTATTCTATTTGATTCATATTTTATATTACTATATATATATATATATATATATATATATATATATATATTTTACTATAGTTCTACTGCTATATTGTATATTTTGGAGCAACTGTAACGACCAAATTTCCCTCTGGGATTAATAAAGTATTTCTGATTCTGACAGTGTCACATCTAAATTTATTGAGCTCTATGCAACTAATCTTTGTCTTCAGATATATGTATATATTCTGAATTTTGTGCTCCTGTTGTCAGGAAGTGTACCTGAAACAGCAACATGCAATAATTAGCAGGGCTGTATTTTATTTGACGAGTGTGTTTACAGCTGTTTCTAAAATAAATGAACCAAAAATAATTTGATGCCGCTTTGAAGGATGAAGGATGATGTGCTTTATCAGTCACTGGCTTAGAAGATGACTTCATTATTTGTATGGAAAACAACATTTTTCTATATTTATCCCTCGTTAAGCATGACAGTATTAATGTAAACAACTGAGTGTTCTAAACTACTGTATTCCATTCCTCCTACAGTCAGGGATTAGTGGCCAGCCCACTATTAAATCCCACAGTTTGTAATCTCCTCCTGTGTGTTTTTTTATGTCACTGCAGCCTGTAGTGAGCTGGTTACTCCCTCTCTGGATCGTAAGCCAACCAGCTTCGTCGCCGTCAGCTGCACGACTCCGCCCCAGGCCTTCTGGACCAAACACGCTCAAACTGAAATCATAGAGGTACAGTATATGACAACTCACTACATCTTCTTTTCTGCCTTCTCTGAAGATTTCAAAAACGGGTTTCACCTCCTTCTTTATCTCCGTCCTCAGGGCACCAGTAACCCCATATTCCTGAGCAGTGTGGCCTTCTTCCAGGACTCTCTGATCACACAGCAGACTCAGGTCAAGCTCTCTGTCTACGATGTCAAAGACCGCTCGCAGGGCACGGTGAGCCCAAACACAAGAATCACTTCTTCAAAGACCTTGACTCCACTTGTCCTCAAATATATTCCCCTTAGGAAGGAAATGTACTCTACTATAAATCCTTTTTTAGTCTGCACTCATGTCGGTGAAATCCTCTAAATCCTGCTTTTGTTTGACAGATGTACATGCTCGGTTCGTCCATGTTTTCTGTGAAAGAGCTGCTGCAGGACAAACACCACAGACTTCACCTCACTCTCAGGTAACAGGGAGACAAGTAAAAAGTGTTCATTTTCCGCTGTCAGTGATAAAACTACAGTCATTGATCGCCGGATTTGGGCGCAGGGAAAGTTAATTTACCAGTTGTCAATGTGGATCAGGTCGGCGGAGAACGAGCGCGTTGGGAACATCACCGTCATCGCCTGGCAGATAGAGGAGAAGAGAGAGCAGAGAGCTCCTGTGGCCAGATTACAGAGAGGAGATACTGTCAATGGAAGGGTGAGTCATCTGGAAAATGTTCTTGATTTTATGAATCAAAACAGAAATGCTGACATTTGGATAAATCTCTGCAGTTCTGCGTACAATGATGGGGCGGGACTACAACCTGGTTTCCATTTGTAGACAAATATTGTCCACTACAATAGTTGTTTACAGGTGGAACACAATCATCCATGATTGAGTATCCAGTAACCCATCAGCTAATGTCTAAAAAACAGATCTCTCCCTTCGAGCACAGCTTGGAAAGCACTCTAACATGTTGTCTCTCAACTCCAATTCATTTCCATTTTCACATCTCAAGTAGCTCGTCAGACTGTAAACAATGGCAGTGCACAGAAAGTCTTTACTGGAAGTCCTTTATTACTAAGTGCTGGCTACAAAGCACACAAAGAAAAGTAAGAAGACTCTCCTGGAGGCGTACAATTTTGTAATAATCAGACTGGTAATCGGTTTCAGGATTGAGATTTTAATAAAAACTTAAATGATTGAGGTTTGAGGTTTTTGGTGTGGAAATGATTAGCTGGTTTTTATTGATTATTAGATTGACTGAAAGCCAGCCAATGAGCAACCACCTGATTATCCTTCCCCACACAAAACACTCAGCACGCCTTCATTCCAGCTGCTCAGTTGTGAAAATCCTCTCCGCCGTGTAGTAAAGTGTGATGAAATGAGGATTTGTCTGTTTGTGTTCAGATGGTTCTCCCTGTCGATGCAAGCTTGACTGAATCCATGGGCATTAAATCCAAGTCGTCCTCCCTGTGCAAAGATCCCCTGCTGAAAGCTGGTGAGTGCATCGTTACGACTATAAATAAACGTGCTGTGTGACTCTGTTTAATCATTTGTGACATCTGGATTGTCGTCCATGTAACACTGATTCACGGCTGTGACTGAGTGTTTGTTGTTTTTTTTTCAGCGTTTGGGGGCGTCATGTCGCGGACGTACCGCTTCCCCACCACAGACGGCAACCACCTCCGGATCCTGGAGCAGATGGCCGAGTCAGGTCTCTCGCTGCACATTCCTCGACAGTTTGTCAAACTGCTGCTGGAGGAAGACGCCGTCAGGTAACGTCTTAACTGCATCGATATTATTGATTAGATGCCATAGAAGCAAAAGGGCGTTGATTAGTTGGGGGGGGGTTGGGTTGGGGGGGGCGTCAACTTCACACTCTGTCAGGGCTAAAGTGCTTGAGTCTACTCTCCACATTTTCTTTCATCTTGCTTTTCATTCTTTTGCTTTTAAATTTTTTAATGTGAATAGTTTTCCATTTTTCCAAAAACTCACTTATAAAAACAAATCCTCGTTTTTGATGGGTTTTGTCTAGTTTAATGTAGACATATAGGATCAAGTTAAACATTATTTTTTTACTTTGTGTCAGTCTTCACAAGCCTCTAGTTGGCTGCAGCTTTGGATTTCCTCACAGATTGTAAAATAATAATATAATAATAATAATAATAATAATAATAATAATAATAATAATAATAATAATAATTTATAGCTAATAATATAAAATATAAATATATAATATATAACTTTATTTATATAGCACCTTTTAAAAACACAGGTTTACAAAGTGCTTTGACAAACAGCAAAAACAAGAACAAACTAAACCAAACACAGAAGAACATAAACAACAGCAAGAACATAACAAATGCAAAATACTAAAAATAATTAAATACAATTCAACAGAAAAGAACCCAAAGTGCACGATACCCAACAGACATATAGAACCAGACCATCACAAGAACCATCACAAGAACCATCATTAGAACCATCATAAGAACCATCATAAGAACCATCATTAGAACCATCATAAGAACCCAACAACACGAGCTGAGACCAAGAGGAACCAAAGATTTAAAAAGATGTAAGAAACTAAAAGAGCTAAAAGCAAATCAAAAGATAACAGCAATAAGAAGGTAAGAGCAGGAAAAGAAATAGAAACAAGTGATTAAAGGATTAAAAAATATATTTATTACTGTAATTAAATGAGTGTGAAATAAGGACATTCTCTTCTCAGATATTAATGGTTTCTTTAAATCCAGTGTTTCACAAAAGTCTGAGTGTGAGTGAGAAGTCCACACAATCTCATTTACAACTTTTTCATGTCAGTATATTTGTGGAATTTTTTACATTACAAAAACCTGCGTCTATAATTTAACTCATATTCTATATGTAGTCTTTTATGTTATCATCAACATTGGGATGAAGAAACATTATAATTAAGACTACAAATATTGCCCGTCTTTCTATTGGTGGCTGCAATGTGAGTATTTTAGGATCTGTTGTGTATATTTCACTGAGTTAGAAAAGGGCTAGTTATACACACATCATGTACTTGTAGGTGCAGGGCAATACAAGAACAGCAGAGAGAAGAAGATGTGCCGGCACGCTTCTTTAAATGCCACAAAAATGTTTTATTTAATCACAACGTTTTGACTAGAGGTCTTCTTCAGTTGATAGTGATGATGTTTTTAATTGATTGAAACTGAAAAAGCTGAACTAACTGGAAGCTGTAAGATCATCATTGCATCAGTTGAATGTATTTACTGTAAATGCATGTGTGTGTGTGTGTGTGTGTGTGTTCAGGGTGTGTGAGCTGGAAGAGCTGGGTGAGCTCTCTGCGTGTTGGGAAAACCTCAGGAGGCAGATCATCACTCAGTATCAGACCATCATCCTCACCTACCAGGAGACCATCAGTGACCTGCACGAATACAAAGGTCAGAAACACAAACAATGTATAACATGACATCCACAAAGTGTGCACGACATGTCACCTTAACATGACACTCCACTCAATCAACATGTCAAAGTCCATTAATAACAGGGAGCACTACACAGTCTGGTAGTTTGGGGAAGCTTTTTTTTTCTAGCTTAAGAAAATTGACAGAACTTGGGAATATATACAAAGTTAAAGTTTCATCCATCTTATTGAAGTTATATCACTTAAAACAAGCAGCTACAATGATGTGTCATGTTGAACCGCTGTGTCATCTTACAATCAGCTTAATGTATCTGCTTCTTGATATTAAAAGATTTGATTCAGAAACACAAAGAGGCTTTATCTCCTCTTTCTCTTCCCTCCCAGGTCCATCTTTTAAGTCTAGCACCTTAAAGGCTGAGAGGAAATTGGAGTTTATTCCCACAAACTTGCACATCCAGAGGATGCGAGTACAGGGAGAGACTGGCTATGGTTGGTATTTGTTTGCCAAACTGTGTTTTTTTTTTTTCCCAAAATGAAACTATTTCTCAGGTATCTTTATACTTTTTTTTTTACTGAGTGTCTTCTGTTCAGACCACACATACGACGTTGTGACCATCGGTGCTCCTGCAGCACATCATCAAGGATTTAAAGGCTGCGGCCTCCGAAAAATGCTGCACAAGCTGGAAGAAGCCAGGAAACAGTGAGTAGAGAAACTCAGACCTTTGTGCTATTTTTACATCTCAGTCTGTTTTTTTATGAGTGACTAATGAACCATGTTTTGCTCTTAATCAGCACCTATGTGGAGGAAAGGTAAGACTGTGTTTAGTGTATTACAAATGTTTTTTTGTTTTTTGTTCCTCTTCCACAATTTAACACCTTTTTTTTTTTTTTTTGTTCCACTTGTCTTCAATCAAGCACCCACTCATCATCAAGCACCCAAAGCTCTGGTGGTCCCGGCCCTAAAGGGATGACCTACCAGCCTCAGGATGTTGTCAAAGCGAAGGAGCTGATTGGTCAGATTAACACTCTGAAAACCCAGGTGTGTTACTACACTGAACGTCTGTCTCGAGCCGCGAAGGAGCGGTCGGCCAACGCTCTGGAGAGAACGCTCGCCATCCTGTCAGAGAAGGTGAGCGAGGAGGAGGAGGAGGAGGAAGTGGAGGGATAACTGCTGTAATAGCTCGTCTTTGTTTAATCTCTCTCCCTCTTCTGCAAAGGTTTTAAACTACTCTTTTTTTTTATCTCAGCTCATGTTGCCTCGATAGAAACAATCTGTTCTTGCGTGCTAAAAATAGCTTTAAATTGAATGTTGGGGGATGAAGTGAAGAAGGACAAATGTAATACTGTACAGCAGATAAAAGAGAGTCTGCTATCAAAATGAGACGAGGACTAACAGCGTCGTCAGCAGTCCTCCGAGTCACAGACACACTGATGCCCTCAAAATGGATGCATTGTTTCATTTAAAGTACTTTCTATGATCATCATCACCTAACCTTGTCTCGCTGTTGTGCTGGAAATGTCTGCTAACAATGCAAAAGAAAGGATCATGAGTCAATCGATGTCTTTGTTTAGTTTTAATTCTTCTTGCAAGTAGAAGGAACAAAGTTTCAGAGTGTCAATACAGTCTGAAGGAAAGCTCCAAGTAATCACAATATGCTTCACAGAAAAACCTTCATGCCCATATAAGGAGTGTCGACACAGGCGCAGTCAAATATCAAATTTTAACACGTCGCACAACAGTAATGTCAAGGAAACTTCAAGTCTGAGTATCTTTGATATTTCGCTATTTGTGAGAAACCTTCATCCTCGGGTAAAGACAAAACAAGAATATTACGTATTAAATTATTGTTGCATTTCTCACTCGAGCTGTAAGTAAAATGTGTCCTCGACAGTAAACAGAAACTTAAAATATTCAGACATTTGGTGAAATATTAGATTAGCACACAGGTAACAATGTTTTGATTTGAAACCTAAAGTAACAGAGGCATCATATCAGTCAGTTGTTTTTTAAGTTGTATTTTCCAAGAACATTTTTTTTCCTCCCTTATAAAAAGAATTATTCATGTTAGTTCTGTTTTTATTTTAAAAATACTTTTGTGCCATAAAGCTTTAAAGCCCACAGTTTTCAGTATTAAAGTCTTTATATGTGATTTTTCACTCTTAAATATAATATAAATCAAGTATATCCTCTGAAAATAACTCTGTGAGCCATGACTGTCTACAATGGGTGTAACACCCGAGTCCCACTGTCTGTGATGTTTTCAGAGTTTTCAGAGTCCTATCTTCACTTTGTTTACATCGCCCGGACGGCCGGCTGACTCCTCCCCTCGTGTATAAAAGTTGTTTAATTGAGGGACTAGAGAAAAGAAGAATAACATACTGTACTCACTGCTTAACTGTGTTTCTAGATCACGCTCATTTCAGGTAAATTTACATGCAGTGTGAAGATACCAGCATAATAAAGATCGCTAGCATTAGCATCTGCTGGATCACAATATCACATATAAAGTCTTTAAATAAATACAGACAAAACGTCAAAACCTTCAAGAGCATATATTTCATCCTCTATGTTTTTTTTTGTCCCCCCCCCCTCCTGCAGACCCGTCAGTTGGTGACCGTGTGCGACTCGAAGCTGCTGGCCTCAGCCATCCTCGCCCTGGCAGCCGCCCGCCCTGAGTTCACACAGCTAGGAACCCCATCCCCGTCCTCTTCCTCCCTCTCGCCCTCCTCCAGCTCCCCGTCACGCTCTCCCTCCCGCCACCACCCCGCCTCCCCATCTCGCTCTGCCACCTCGCCGTCTCGCCGCATTTCTCCCACAGACGGCAGCGAGGGGAGTAAAAACAAGCGCGCCTCTTTCCAGGCGGATTTACACGAGGAGGAGTGGGTAAGAGAAGAGTCTGTGTGCTTCATTTACATCTGTGTTGAAGGGGGTTTTTTCTAACTCAGTTCATGGTGTGTGTGTGTGTGTGTGTGTGTGTGTGCGTGTGCAGGAGAAGGTTTGGCTGAATGTGGATAAGAGTCTGGAGTGTGTGATTCAAAGAGTGGACAGGCTGCTGCAGAGAGACAAACTGCAGAGTGACAGCAGCTCTGAGGACGTCTTCGAGCTCGCCACCGAGGAGCCCACCACCGCAAAGAAAGGTTCAAACACACACACACACACACACACACACACACACACAAAACAGAGTTATTGTCGTGCTGCATGATCGTGCACCACTACAGAGGACAAAGATCATTATGTCACTCTCATGAAGAAGCTTTCTTTCAAGAATTAGAGAATAAAATTGAAAACAAATGAATAATAAAAAAAGAAAAACAATAATAATTGAAAAAAGAAACTAAAACAAACCTAAATATATGTAAATGTACATGCTCTTACACATATACATGTTTATACATGAAAGGAAATAATAAGAATAATAATAAAACAAGTAGGGTACAAGAACATACATTTATGAAGTAGCTTTCTGACCAACACTTCCTCCTCTATTATCTTCTCCATCCATCATCAACATCAACATCATCCCTCCATCAGACTCTTTCATGTCTTGCACATCCTGTTTATCACATCTGCAGGTTCATTCTCGTCGACATGCTCATGTTCTGCTTTAATGCTGCTGGATATTTAGATTCAGAAATATAATCTTAAAGGGATACTTCCCCCATTTGTATTAATCTTTGTATCATTAGAAACCTGGTAGTATTTTTGAATGGTCGTGCATCCGGCCCTCATTTTCCCCTGAGATGTGAAGTCTTTGTATTTCTGAGTCTGTAAAGGAGCTTCCAGTGACGCAAAATGATGATTTTTGCGTCACTGGAAGCTGTTGTGGTTAGCGGGGTGAAACTACAACGCTAGTTCTTCATATTTTCGACCACTGAAGCTACAGACCAATCACAGATCAGTGGGTGGGAACTCACTCCCAGAATCGAAACTTAACGTCCGTCATATTGCTTGGAAGCTATACTAACAGGCTCTATGGAGAAAGATGATAATGGCGAAAATATAAATATAGCAGTGAGTGCCGCTGTGCATTCTGGGATTTGGTGTCTTTCATCCACATGAGCCAATAAGACACTTTCTGCCTTTTCACGGCCAAGAAGGCACCAACTTCAAAATGTATTTCACATTTCTACATATATGACCCAATGTCAATACAGATTCATGTTTCAACGGGTGAACTATCCCTTTAAGTTCCAAGCAGAGGAGAAAGAGTCTTCTTAAATAAACATCATGTGCTTTTCTCCTTCATAGAAAGCAGCCCAGATGTAGAAAAGAAGTCCCCAGGTGAGAGGAATACTTCCTTAAAGTCTTCAAATGCAGGTGCATTAAATCTTGTTGGTGCTTGTCTCTAAACAGAATCAGTCATCTCTTTTAAGTCTCTTCTTCAGACACACTTTTTCCGGCGAGCCTTTCCTGATTTTTGTTGATTTTAAATTGTTTTACTATTTTCACTTTTTAGAATTCCTTTAAAAGAATTGTATGTATTTTTACAGTTCTTTTAAAAAAAGGGATTTTATATTTTAAAGTGATTTTTTATTCCTTAATCTTGCCTTGTTTATTATTCTATGACCTGCCTGTTTTTAGATTTGCTGTCCTTGTAACTTGTTTTTGAAAAGTGCTCTATAAATAAAGATTATTATTATAATTCTAATTCTAAACAGACCCTGTGTTTGTATTAGAGTGTGTGTGATTAACTTGTCTCTACATCCCACAGGGGAATGGAACGACGCTCTGTACCCCCTCCTCACCACGTTGACCGACTGCGTGTCTCTGATGAGCGACAAAGCGAAGAAGTCCATGGTGTTTCTGCTGATGCAGGACAGCGCTCCAACCATCGCCATGAGCCTCACCATGCAGTACCGCCGCGACGTCGTCTTCTGTCAGACGGTCTGTCAGCTCCCAACCCCCCCCCCCACACACACACACCCCCACCCTCACAAGCACCCTGTCTTTCACTGTGATGAGAGTTACACAATGTGCATAGTGTGCTTTAACAACATGGCCTTTTGATGTGCTGCTTTACAGCTGACGGCGCTGATCTGCGGCTTCGTCATCAAGCTGAGGAACAGTCTGTGTGACTCAGGCTTCCTCAGGCAGCTGCACACCATCGGCCTGCTGGTGCAGTATGAGAGCCTGCTCAGTACATACGGTAATGTGTGTGTGTGTGTGTGTGTGTGTGTGAAAGTGGGCGAGGAGTGTTATTGTTGTTTGTTTAAATCACTCAAACGAGAGACAGACTTCAGGGTGTACAAGACACAATATTTTGCAGAAACATTCATCTAGGGCTCCAGATAGCGTAGGAGTTATGACGCATGCCCCATGTACAGAGTCTGTAGTCCTTGTCCCAGCAGATGTAGGTTCAAATCCAACCTCGGACCTTTGCATGTCTGCATGTCATTCTCCACTCTTTCTTTCCTCCCAACATTTCCTTTCTCTCTTCAGCTGTCCTATCAATAAAGTCAGAAACGGCTGAAAATGGGGCGCTGGTGTCGCAGTGGTTAGTGCGCGCGCCCCATGTATGGAAGCTGTAGTCTTCCAAGCAGGCGGCCCAGGATCAAATCCAGCCTGTGGCTCCTTTCCTGCATGTCATTCCCCACTCTTTGTCTCCCTGATTTCCAACTCTATCGTCTGTCCTATCTCTCCAATAAAGGCACAAAAATAAATCTTAAAAATAAAAAAAAACATGGCCCAAAATAATAACTTTTAAAGGTTTATTTTGGGGATTTTGATGCTTTTATTTTAGCGGAGAGAGTTAGAAAACTTATGGGAGAGAGAGTGGGGAAGGACATGCAGGAAAAGAGCCTCAGGCCGGATTTGAACCTGGGACACCCGCTGTCAAGGACTTGAGCCTCTGTACATGGGGTGCATGCACTAACCTCAAGGCTACCGTGGCTCCCAAAAAAAAAAAAAAAAAAGCGTATTATTTGAAAATGATAAATGTTAAGAGTAATTTCTCATAGTCAATCATGTAAATTAGCATTTAGCCGCCCTGATCTTGCTGAATAACATCAATATTTAAAGCCATGACCTCTAAACTTTGACAATTTAAATTTATCACCAACGCAGAATTACCAGTAATGCATTAAAAGCAATTAAAACTTCATAAAAATTTAAATAAATTGCTCAGAGTAAATGCAAACTTTAATTATAAAGTTTGCTGCTTTCAGATGTTCTGTTTGATATTCTTTAACAGAGTTCAGGTAATAAAGAACTTGTCTCTATATTAGGACATTAGCCGGTTGTTGATAATGGCTTGGTTCCATCAGAATGCCTCGTTGTTTCTTCCAGGTGAGGAGCTCGCCATGTTGGAGGATATGAGTGTCGGGGTGATGGACTTAAGAAACGTCACCTTTAAAGTCACTCAGGCGACCTCAGGTTTCGCTCCAGACATGCTCCCGGTGATCACGGGAAACAGGAACGGCTTCAACGTCAGGGTGCCGATGCCCGGGGTGATGTTCGACTCGCTGCCTCGAGAGATCCAGAACGGGATGCTGCTGCGCGTGCAGCCCGTCCTCTTCAACGTGGGGATCAACGAGCAGCAGACGCTGGCTGAGAAGTGAGTCTATGAGATCTGAGTGAAAGGAAAGATTAAAGGCTGAAGGACACACCGGAGGGGAATGACCATTTTGGCTGTTTGAATAATGTGGTCACTTTTATAGTTTTTATGTTACATGTTGTACTCAATTACCTTAATGCTCATGTATGATAGTTTTAGTATGGGGTCTTTCATTTAAAAAAAGAATCATATGAAAAACATTTTTAATGTAAATGACCAACTATTAACAGGTTCATAAGGTTGTGACGGCATGTTAGTGTTCTTGTTTTCATTTTAAATTGAATTATTTCCCTTTTTATTCCCCTCGCTCTATTTAATGTTTTTAAAGGAAGGAACAACGAGTGAATTAAGATAAAGACAAAGAGGTTTAAATGAAGACTAGATTGATATAGTGTGTGACGTGTCATGGTCTGAACCCACGGGCAAAATGCTGTTTAGATGCCTCTGAGCAAGACCCTGAACCCTGGTTTAAAACTTGGCTATAGTATAGAATAGAATAGAATAGAATAGAATTACATTATTGATCCCAAACTGGGAAATTGTGGCGTTACAGCAGCAGGTTATCCAAACACACAATATGAGTAAAAAACACAATATTAGCAAATTTAAACACAATATAATATTAAATACAAAGTAAATAAGCACTAAAAATATCAAAACTAAGAATGGAATATATACAACCAGGATTTAACTAAACATTACTATTCTTAAATATGAAAAGATTAAATACAACATACTTTGCTGTATATAAATGTACATGTGCAAAAACAGAGTTGTAAATGACAGTATTGACATGGGGAGCTGTGCAATCAGTGATACATGAGTTAAAGTGCAGGAGTGTAGACATGTTATCAGCAGAAACTATTCAATATAACGGCGAGCAGACAGACAAATGAAGTGAACTTGAGTGCAGGGATAATTAGTAAATTTAACATGTGCAGAACAGATTACAATATGGAGAGAAATATATCAAATAATTGTGACATAAAAAAAAAAGCATGTAGGCTCAGTACATACAACATGCTTCAGGTTGCACAGCGGAGCATTTAAAGCTGAGGTAGAAAGCCGATGATTTGAAGAGGAAAAACGATGACTGACAACTAGGATTTAAACTCTTAACATCTTACATGTGTGTCCAGGTTTGGAGACACTTCACTGCAGGATGTGATCAACATGGAGAACATGACTCGCCTCAGCTCGTACTACGACCAGTTTAAAGAAGTCCTGCCAGAAGACTGTACGTTCAGATACATACACAATACAAGGACTAATGTGATTTCTCTTCAGTTTGACTCATCTGCCCTCCTCTGTTTCCTCCTCAGGCCTGCCTCGCTCCCGCAGTACCACCAGCCTGCCCGATCTGCTGAAATTGCTGAGTCTGAATGTGAACGCCAAGAAGAGCAAGAATGTGGAGATTCTTTGGCAAGCAGCTGAGGTGGAACTGCTTCTCTGTCTTCTACCCACAACCCCTCAAATCCAAACTCTCTTTGTTTCCTCTTTAACCCTTTTTTCTTCTCCAAACCCTGAAGGTGTGTCGCCGCCTGAACGGAGTGCGTTTCACCAGCTGTAAGAGCGCAAAGGACCGCACGGCCATGTCTCTGACCCTGGAGCAGTGTCAGATCCTTCAGCAGGAGCACGCCCTCGCCCCGCAGGTCTTCTACCAGGCCTTGGACTGTATGCGCAGGTCAGCAAATTCAGAAACAAACAAACAGAAAAAAATGTTTGCGATGATCAGTCATCACAAAAAAAAAAATGCTTCCGGCCTGTAGGGGGACGATTTTGTAAAGAAGTTTAATCTTAAAGGAGATGTAGGAGCCTTATTGCACATCATGTTAAATTTATGGATGCATGTAATAATTTTGTTCATTGGATCTGGGAGGGGGAGGGGCTTGTGGACTTAATTGGGCTCAGTTCAGACTAGTAGAGAGTGGAGCCACACAGTCTTTTGACCTCTCTCTCCTCATCTCTCTCTTTTTGTATAGTTTTGGATTAACCTGTATCTGTTTTTTGTTTATTTTTGTTTAAGTAAACATTTGATCATTTGGTCCTGTGGATTTTTTGGATGAAAATTACGTAAGAGAGGAGTTTTGGGAGCGTCAAGCTACGGCTTCATTTGCAGAATGTTGATTTAGGCAGCTCATGGAAATGTTTTTGGCTGTTACAGTGCACTGTATAGTAACCCTGCACCAACAGCCTCTGTTTGACAAACATTAACAATGCATTTCTTCTGTGTCTCCACAGTGAGGGCTGTAGGAGAGAGAACACCATGAAGAATGTGGGATGTCGTAAATACGCCTTTAACGCTCTCCAGCTCAAAGCCTTCCCCAAACAGTACCGCCCTCCAGAGGGGACGTATGGGAAAGTCGAGACCTAAGCGGACTCACCTATAGCCAAAAGACTGAAGGAGATAATGATGATAGCACCACACAAACAAAACAAAAAAGACCAACACAAACTGGAACAACAACCCTTTGTTCTGTGCTTAATCACTATTAAGATGTCCAAGTGCCAGTGCTACTGTAGAGTGTTTTATAGCAGTTCCCCCCCCCTCCTCATGTAGTACTCAAATCTCACTTTTCACATCCAGAAAAAAGTAAAAATGTGGCTTTCTGTGTTTCATTGTAGCCACTGTGCCGACCACACTGTTGGCTGTGCCAGTCGTAGCGCCAGGGCGCAAAACTGAGTCAGTATAACTTGGTGTCCCTGAAAAAAAAGAAAAGTTTTTCAGCCTTTAGATTAATGGATGGGGACATATCCGTACTTGTCCATGCTGATTTTATTTGGTTTAATCAGTTTGTCTCTGGAAGGCTGTGGATATTCTCTACTTTTCTTTTTGTCAATAAATCCTGTGCAAAGACCAAAACGAGCACACGTGTGTAGAAGAGCTCCATTCTTGTCCCAAAGAGTTTAAAGGCTTTATATGTGATTTCTTTTTGATCCAGCAGATGTCGCCCTTGAGCACCAGCATGAAACCAAAACAACTCGCGCTGCATTGTTGTGTTAGCATGCTAATGCTAGCAATCTTTATTCTGCTGGTATCTTCACACTGCATGTAAATTTACCTGAAATGAGCGTGATCTAGAAACACAGTTAAGCAGTGAGTACAGTATGTTATTCTTCTTTTCTCTAGTCCCTCAATTAAACAACTTTTATACACGAGGGGAGGAGTCAGCCGGCCGTCCTGGCGATGTAAACAAAGTGAAGATAGGACTCTGAAAACTCTGAAAACATCACAGACAGTGGGACTCGGGTGTTACACCCATTGTAGACAGTCATGACTCACAGAGCTATTTTCAGAGGAGATACTTGATTTCTACATTTAAGTGTGAAGAATCACATAAAGCCTTTAATCACATCAATAAGCTTCACCATATTACTGTCAGACATGTTCCATCATTACAGGAAAAATAGGTCTTGCAGTTTATTCACGTTGTGACCTTTTAAAAAATCACAGGAACACCAAATGTGTATTAATCCATTTATGTTGAAAACAGTCTCCAACAAATACACTTTGACTGTTTTCAGTAACATGTGCACGAGAGTGACCAGCTGTTACAGGAGAGTACTGAGCTCCTTTTTAAAATTGAAACAGGGGGCGCAGGTTGGCCTGGCGGTTTGTTTGGGCGCCCCATTACAGAGGCTGTTGTCCTACAAGTGAGCGGTTCGACTCCGACCTGTTGCTCCTTCCCTGCATGTCACTCCCAACTCTCTCTCTCTCTCCGTTTTCTGACTGTATCCACTAAAAGAGACAGTAAGCATGTACGAAACTCTTCCTGATTTTGCTCTTTCCATGGGATTTGTTGACAAAAACACTGAAACTATGAATATTGTCAGCCAGACCCTGTAAGGCTACACTAGAAAAAATGTTTATAAAGGTTTATAAAGACAGGGAGAGCTGGTCTAGTGTAGCTAAGAGGATGCTTTTCTTGACCTGTCACAATGTTTCTTTGGACCTAAACTGCGCTGCAAAGTGAAAGTTGTTAAACTCGAAGCACTCATGGTTTCATTTTAGTGCTTTCAGACTGTTTGTTTGGTTCCCATCCACTGTCTCGTACTCTTTCATGTGTTTTCATTCACCACGTCTGTAATCACACAACACGTCACTCTCTACAACAAGCACAGAGTCGTTTTGTTTTGTACTGATATGATGTCTCATAAAGTTATTTCTAATATTCCTGTGATGCTTCGTTGGGAAGCTTTGTTTAAGGAACTGGGTCACAAATCTATATCACATTTCCTATCATTCTAATATCTACACATATTCCAGTATGCAGCACTATAGTGATTTTAATGCCCTTCAAATGTGGGTTTAGTTTATCCAAAGTGTTTACAGTACTCATATAGATATGCAGAATTTGTGATGAAATTGGATTAAAGCTTGAATAAATTCAGCCTGCATGAGGATTGACAAATGCTACTACTTTATATTATTGCTACTGTACACTGCTGAGGAAACATATTAGAAAGGAAACAATGCACATTGCATTTTACTGTTCATCAATAACACCTCTTCTGTTGTCAGTCTACCAGCTCCACGCTCATATGAACCTTACTGTACAGAACTTACAGAGACAGTGGATTTTATTTTGAAAATGTTATTTTGCTTAGAGGTATTCATGTTGTTCTGGCTGCTGTTGCCAAATGCTGTTTTAGTTTCATCCATTGTTAATGATTAAGTTATGACCGTGTCGTGATCAGTTGTAACATGCACACAGGCTGGACAGGAAAATGTGGGAGACCCCCAACACCCCGACAGAGGTCTGAAATAAAACTGGATGAATAAATGCTTATCAATGCCAAATGAGTAAACTGTGAGTAAATTGATTAAAATTACTTTGTGGGTTGAGCAACAAAAAAAGCACATTTTAAAATCAACTCAAATAGAAGCAGTTAGAATGGAAATTAATAGAATAAAACCCTCTGAAAACAATAACATTTAAACATCAAACTTTCATAGACTATACTTATAATAATTCATACACAGGAGATCAAAACAAACGCTCGTTTTCCTTTAAGAGTCTCCGGAAGTGAAGCAATTGCCATAGATCGTTTATTGATAGAGAAGAATCCTGTCTCAAGATTTATTTAAAGACTAGAAAAATCGCATTTTTAGTTTATTGTTGATTACAGAAACGAAAAACGAAAATGTACGTTTGTAAAAAAAAAACAAAAAAAAAAAAAAACAGGTGTCACTTTAAAAAAAAATTCTTAAGAAAATAAATAAGATCCCGTCAACGAAGAGGAAGTCACCGCTCATTGTGGTGGTTTTTGGGCTGCCAGGTCAAATCTTCTTGCCTTACACGACATTTATTAAATGTATATTTCACTGTAAGATCAGCCACTCACTCTCAGCTAGATCTGAGCCATAGACTGTAAATTAATTATCTTATACACAGTGTATGGCTCGGCTCTGTCCTAAATTACAACGCTGTTTGTGGTGCTCAGAAAAGACGTCAGAGTGAGCCCTCGCTGCATCGCCACGCTCTCTGGTTACAGCTTGTCTGCATGGCGCTGATAATCCGCTCTGTTGTAACAAAATCGCAGATTTTCTGGCGCTGTGTGGAGAGGTGAGAGGACGCTGCACATCCACACAAGAGTCTAGAAATTTAAGAGGTTAAAAAAAAAACAACCTGTTTACATGGACACATACTTAGACATTGATTCACATTTGTGTCTCAGCTATCATGTAGCATGTTTGTTTTACAGTCTGTCACTGTGCAGATTGAGGAAGGTGTGAAATTCATTTCCCTGCTCTTAAGTGCAGATATGACAGGAATGCACCTTGTTATTATATTTAAACCATAGACTGTAAATATTACTGTATACAATATTGTAATAGATTTAAACACACATCACGGGAAGTGGTACATTTGTATTTATTTTCCTATAAACATCTATTTAGCCATATTATAGAGAAACTATTGTGTGTGATTAAGTACCTGTATATAACAGCTGTTGTTGCTGTTTTATTTATTACACAAGAAATCATTTTACAGCATTTTTATAGCCTAACTATCATCAAATACACATCAATTAAAGTAGAACAAAGTCATTTTCAAACTAAAAGGGAGAGAACTTTATAAAATGTATTTTTGTGATTGTAAATACATCAATTACATTTTTAATTTAGCACAACTAACATAAACTAAAGTACTCTTACACAGTGGTGGTGATATTACAGCATCTGAACTTTTCAAATTAAGGACAAAAATGAAATAGTGCGTCAACATGTTTGTACCAGAAGTGATAAATGGTGTTATATTGAATAGTTTCTGCTGATATGTCTACACTCCTTCACTTTAACTTATGTCAATACTGTCCATTTACAACTCTGTTTTTACACATTTACATTTAATCTTTCATATTTAAGACTAGTAATGCTAAGTTAAATCCTGGTTGTATATATTCACATTCTTAGTTTTGATGTTTTTAGTGCTTATTTACTTTGTATTTAATATTATGTTGTGTTTTTTGCTCATATTGTGTGTTTGGACAACCTGCTGCTGTAACGCCACAATTTCCCAGTTTGGGATCAATAAAGTAATTCTATTCTATTCTATTCTATTCTATTCTATTCTATAATAGAAGTCATTGATCAACAAGGCATAAAATGTATTCATTAACCTTTTCCTCCTACTATTTAACTCCTCCCCTTCAGTCCACTCTCCATTCACTTATTGATCTCTCTCTGCTCAAAGGTTGTCTTCAGCTGACCATCGGTTGTTCTGGTCTGCGAGAGGAAGAGCTCAAGCCTGCAAAGACTTCACGTCATCTATCTCACACTCAGGTTGGTTTTGTCTTGTAAAATCTGATCCTCTGCTGTTCATTTTCTTTAAACTGAATTCAACTATCAACAAACTACACCACCATTGTCTCTAATCTTGACCAGAGTAAATGTTAACTTCAGTTTACTTATTAACAAGAGGAGCTAAACTCTCTCTCCAAAGATTCAGAGGGACAGCCAGGGCTGCAGCTCGTGTTCATGCTCTGTTGTTTCTGCTCCTCAGGGTCCACGATGAGCAAGAAGAAGGTGCTGGCTGACGTAGACTGCGGGACGGACGATGCTCAGGCCATCATGTTGGCGCTGGCCGCCCCCAACGTGGAGCTACTGGGTGTCACGTGCGTGCACGGTAACACGGCGGTGGAGAATGTGTGCAAGAACACACTGCGAGTTTTGCAAGTCTGCAATAAGCTGGAGGTGGGTGCAGAACGTGAATTTATTTCATGATCCTGATTTGATTTTCTCGGTAAATATTGAGCTTTTTTTGTGACCTGCTGAAGAGTCAAGACTTAAAATTAATTGGAATTTGAATTGGGATTTGCTGGCATCATGTGATGTGTGAGGGTACTCTTTTATAAAATGGACAAACAGTGAGTTGTTGTTGCTCAGGTCACATGACTGAGGCAGAAACTGGACAAACGACTCAACCACTATGAACTCAGTTAGATTCAGGGAACATGTTTATTTATTGTCTGCTTTTGGCTTCATGCACTGAAGGAGGATATGAAACCAACTATCAGACTTTATATCATCATCATCATATTCAATGAAACCACTGCTTAATAATACTCACTCACTATACTGTGTAAAACACAGAGCGCCATGTCGCTTTTTAATGAAAAGTAATGAATTAGTTTGACCAACCAGTATCCATTACGTCAAGAGAGGACTCTTTTTAAATTGTTAACTCAATTAATCAATCAATCTTTATCTGTATTGAGCCAATTCATAACAAATATCCAGAGACACTTTACTTTTTTGTAAAAAGAGCAGGTTATGGTCTTTGAATTTATTTTTTTTAATGAACTGGTCACTCTATTGAAGTGAAAAATCGTCACATCTTACAAAGTAAAATCAACTTGGTGAGTCATTATCAATCATTTGTGTTGACCGATCGTAAAAGTCTCAAACATCCCACATGATTAATGAATTTATAAAAAAATAAATTAAGTTATTCTTCCCTTCTCATGAAGTCATGTG